TCTTCACCATCAATGTCTTGACCTGGGATCACCATCAGGATCATTGCAAAAAAATCTTCAAATTTAAAACTCAAAAATGATCAATTGGAGGCAATCATTTTTTGTTAAAATAAAGCACTGAATAACAATGCACCATGCTCCTAATATTTGTTTACATGAGTTGAGTTTGATACACAATGTTTTACTTTCTCTAATGTTATCCAAGGATAAATTATAAAGTGAAACAAGATCCCTATTTTGGAAAGTAATATCATTTAGAGGGTGAAATTGACACTGAATGTGTATACATGATACCAGTATACAAAAGTACCACAAGCCAAGATTAGCATAGTCTTTGTTTACCACCTTATTCTAAAGTGAAAGCCAAATATTGAGAAGTACTTGAGAATAAGCAATAGACTACATGTGTATATGTAGTGTACAGACACTGTTGTGTTATTAAATTAATTCCATATTTCTTGAGCTTTTAAAAGTTGTGCACCATTGAACATGCACATGTGTGTTCAGTCGACCATGTGATATAAAAGCAAACACGCAGAGTCATCAAAACAGAAGTAAACAAACAAACAAATATGTAACTTACCTATTCAGCAAGGTAACAGTATCCAGGGGCGGATCTGGGAACCAACAAGGGGGGGGGCCCAAACTTCTTGCCCGAGAAAAAAATGTCCGCGCTTGCGCGGAAAAAATTTTTAGGCCCCTAAAACCAAAATGTGGGCCCAAATTTTGAAATTTTGAGGCCCATTTTCTTCAAAATTTGGCCTAAAATGAAAAAATAAGGCCTTAGAAGGCCCATTTATGACCAAAAAGGCCCACTTTTTGGGGCCACAAGGCCTTTTTTTGCTCAAAAATTTTTTTGGGCCCAATTTTTTTTTTCTGGGCCCACCCGAGGGGGGGGGGCCCGGGCCCCTGGGCCCCCCCCCCATATCCGCCAGTGGTATCTATTTATAAATAAATTTATATTCCATTTAGATTTAGAATCTATCATGATGTCATGTGATTTCTCCAAATCTCATGATTGAAAATTAGTGATGTTCTATTTTTACCTTCTGATGACGATCTGTCACTCATTTTCCCGTCTCAGGTCACCGTGACCAGCTCAGCAAGACTTGTACTCTGGACTTAGTAGTTCCCAGGGATTCCTCGGGTCAAATTTCACTACTATTGTGGACGTTGGACCGCAGCCTCTCTGGAGTTTCGTACAAGATGGACTTCTAACTTTGGGGGCGGGGTTCAATTAGACGCATCACGTGGGGTATCACGTGATACTGTACACAGCTCAGCCTTGCTCATGGTACTTGACAAAGTCATTTATCATCTTGTTCAAATAAAACTCGATAACTGGGGAAACGTTTGCTAGTCTAGCATATTGCTGAAATATTGACAGAATTATTGCTTCAATAAATGCAACATTGCATGGAGGCCATAAAAGGCCCCTGCGCCTAATTGATTGGGATTGTGAGTTATCCCCCTCCTCGCTGTGAGAGCGAACGGTGTGGAATGGAGGGGGGGGGGGGTTGTAAGTCACTTGGGCCTAGCTCTTATGTTAACACTTATTATGGATACGAGCGATAGCCTACCGAGCGTTTAATAACTGATCCTAAAATCGATTTTACTAAAATACAAAATTTATGGCTACCAGTGCAGCTGCGGCTGAGAAGTGACAATCCTACAAAGTACACATATTATCCAGGTAGTTTTCAATCCAATATATTCTTTGTATTCTAATCCAAAAATAAAAGAAAAACTCGATCAAAAGTTTCTTTCTTGCTTTTTGAAATTTTAGAAAATATTATAAAGTGGCAGCAAAGAAACCCGCAAATAAAACAGCCCATATCGAAAACATCCCAATATTTCTTCCAATCCCAATTAAATGAAAAAAGCAAACAATTGACAAATATTCACAGTTATTCGAGATTATACCTAAAGACCTGTTTGTTATTGGAAATTCATTAAATGAAAAAGCGGTGTCAACTTCCAAATGTCTGCTAAATTACCTTTATGGGTTATCGCCTTGGTCAACGTCTAGCAGCAAGTCTTGCAATCACAATGCAAGGTCATTTCAGTCAAGCTTCTGTGCGAAATTCATCGAAAGCCTGATATGATCAATTACAGGTCAGGGGCGGATCTGGGAATCAACAAGGGGGGGGCCCAAATTTCAAGTCAGAGAAAAAAGCGTCCGCGCTTGCGCGGAAAAAAATTTTGGGCCCCTAAAACCCAAAAGTGGGCCCAAATTTTGAAATTTTGAGGCCCATTTTCTTCAAAATTTGGCCTGAAATCAAAAAATATGGCCTTAAAAGGCCCAGTAATAACCAAAAAGGCCCACTTTTTGGGGCCTGAAGGCCTTTTTTGGCCCCAAATTTTTTTAGGGCCCAATTTTTTTTTCTGGGCCCACCCAAGGGGTTATTGAAAAAAGCGCACTGGGAATGATCGTCATTTTTCCACATTAACTTTAAGTAATTCTTTTTCAGGAAGTTACGCTCAACTGTCTTTATTTAATCTTTGTTAGTTGTCGCTTTAATTGATCTTTAGAAAAATTCAGTAGGGATGGTCGAGATCGGCATCGACAAGGAATGATTTTGGGATATGGTGATTTTGCTCAAGTTTGCCGCAAATCAAATTAATTCATTAGACCTTCTTTAAATCATTCATTAAATCTTCTACTTCCAAGAAAGTTAGAGCAACTGAAATGATATTTTGATAGATTTCTTCAGAATCAAAAATTGATGATTCTCCATCATCAAAAATAATATGTAACACTGCCACGGAGTTTGATCAACAAAAATTAAGGTCCTTAAAATCCAATGTCATTAGGTCGATTAAAATGCAAACGTTCTGAAATAACGTGTGAAATTGAAGCATATATAGACATTTTATTTTATTCTGATGACTAATACCTGTTGAAGATATTTTGAGCCAGACAAGGCTAAATTTAGACAATTTATGAGTCAATATATATTCAATTTCAATTTTGGAGTTTGGTTGGGTAATGTAAATTTTACAAAAATAATTTAAGGGTCAACGTGTATTTGTATACTTTTGAGATCTTCAAATTCAGAAGTTAAAGTTGTAGGAAAGGTTAACCAATGCTCTAGGTTCAAGTAATGCAATCTTTGTAGCTTAACATATGAAATCAATGTTTTTTAAAAGAATATATTGAGCCAATAGCATAAAGTTGTGTAGGTTTATGGGAAATAAAATTGTCATTGACCTACAAAGTAAATGCAATTGTTTCCTTATTCGATCAAAGGATCATCCAGGACAGTTATAATCCCTTTAGATGAAAAACCAAGTGTGGATCTAAAGATCAAATGATCTTATTTGACACAAAATATACGGACCACACGAGCACATATTTGTACACCTAGAAGTGTCTTGTTGTTGTATTGGTGACCGCTTTGTTATGAGCATAATACGCCGCATTGACACAATCAATGATTGGTAATGACATCCTGGACTGTTCAAGAGTTAAGTCCCGAGTACTGTGTCCTCTTAATTTCTTAAAGTCGAGCAAATGAAAAACTGACGAGTCCATATTAACGATTAATGAGAAAGGGGAGAAAATGATCCGAAATAAAAAGCGAAACAAATGAATATAAAAAATGTTACTTATATATAACCCAAGCTTACATGGTCTCATTTATTATATTGGCATGTTGTAATTAAAATCTCCAACTTTTTTTGTAGACAGTGTTTGACGGTCGGCGGTTGGCGTTCCTTGGTCGGCATCTGAAACAATGACAGGTGGTGACATTTTGCATGGTAATTCCTTGTTTCAGTAAATTGTTTTCAGCATACATGCATCATGACATACTCCCTGGTAATGCTAGTCTTCAAAGTACAACTCTCGTACATACAACTTTTTAAAACATACTTTGATGTTGCTGTATGCACTTGTCCCATCATCAGCAATGCCTGGTTTCATTGTTATTTCGGGTCTTTCAACATTGTATAACTCTACCAGGTGACCCCATCAGAGTGGTGTTGGACAATGTGTGCTACCCAAGCTAAATACTTCTTATTAGTGTCTTATTTTGTTTTCCAGTTATCTGCTCGTTTGATCCAGATCCATTTTGATGCTTTCTCTGCTGATGTTGTGATACTTCAAATTGCTCTCTTCCTTGAATTGCCATTTATTCCTAAATTCCCTAATGTTCTCCAGAGTGATTGTCCCGCGAAAGCTCGGCAGCCAACTTTCACTAGTTCACACTTGGCTCTGTATCTTTCTCTGGCGCATACAATAAGGGACATTGATCATGGGACACATGTTATTCGAGCATTCGTTATGGGAAACATGTTATTAGAGGCATTGATCATGGGAAACAGGTTCCTCGGGGCATTCATCATCAGAAACATGTTACTCAGGGCTTAGATCATTGGAAACATGTTATTCGGGGCATCGATCATGTGAAACAGGTAATTCGGCGAATTGATCATGGGACACATGTTATTCGGGGCATTGGTCATAGGGAAACAGGTTATTTGCGGGGAATAGATTATGGCATCGTGATCCAAACAAATAAGGGGAAAAATAGATCGCTGTACGTGTATAAAGATCGAACTTTCATTTCAGACACGTTGCCATAATGTCATTACGATAAAATCCTGTGTCGTGTACTTCTCTTTTGTTGTTATTTTAGTCTCATGTTCTTTTTCGCTTTATTGAACAGCTCTCAACGTGTTCAAGAGGTAATAAACTGTTAAAGATTTTGATTTTCAAACGCCAAATTGAGAGAAGAGAATCACTCAATCAAAGTCAATTTTCTCTTTGTTGAGAAGTACAATGCATGTCAACGCTTAAGAAAACACTAACACTTTACGATTATAGTTCTTGCAATTTATCATAAAGTAAAAAGAAAATGGCCTGGACGCCAGGCTGGTGAAGCAAGTCAATCAACCATTCAAGTAAAACATTGTGTGACTTATTGTTATAGCAACGGGATCAAACTTAGATAAACTTTGAAAACAAATGTCATAGGTTTACTTTTTAATGGCCTTAAATGTAACCAAAAACTTCTTTGTAAAGGTTAGGACAACATTTATTTTAAACACCTTTCTGAAAGAACCAATATTCGAGTCAATAACGGCGCAACAAACATTACCGTTCTATTGCAATAGCAACACGTTTTGGAGTAACTGGAGAATCTGAGGGTCACCTATATTCGCTTAATATATTCAGACTAAAGGACTTATTCAAAATATACATATAAACAACATGGATGAATGAGTGAAAAGATCGCGTATGAGGTAAGGTTTGTTAAAAGTCAAGTGAATTTGCACTTTGTTTTTATAATTTCTTAAGGAAATACATGTAAAAAACAAATCAACTATGAGGATTCAAAATAAACAGTTTTAGCGGAACATTCAGTTTAATAGTGCACTGTTACGAAAATGCAAAAATCTACTTAATTTACACAAACAGTTTAGGCGAGGTGCAATCAATGTTAGCGCCAGGTTGTTTTGAATAGGTAAATATTTTTAACAAATGTAATTCTTATTTTGTTATTGTAAAAGAAGAAGCTCATTGAGGAAACTGATACCTCACAAACGATTGGTTGCAATATATTATAGTCTAGATACAAATGAACAGTGTGTGAAAAGTGTGTCTAAACCAGCAACTGAGCAAAGGTATATAAATAAATGCAAATGATTTCAATATCCAGCTGATAAGTGATAACAAAAGGAAAATACAAAAATATCTCGATTTTCATTTGAAAAAATCAGTTCATTTCATTTCAGCTACATCGTTCGATAAAATAGTGAAATAGGGCCTGTAGAATATTGCTTGTTTTCAGATTTTATTGAATACTGGCTGGACTCTAGACGAGTAAAATGTTTAAAAAACTATTTTCCAGATTTCCAGCTGAGACTTTAAGCAGCATCTTTTGTTTCCATTTACAACGGTCATGAAAAGTTCAAAACTGAAAAGAAAATTCCTGTAACACCAAACATTGAATACTGAAAACTGTCAACCGCTACAAACTGATACCTGAACACCAGAGGACGAGGAACGCCAACATTGTGCATCAAGTATCAACTTCATCATGGCGGCTGCAGTTGGCCCGCAAAAACAGGTCAGTCTAATAAAAATTCGTATAGAATAGGATCTTTTTTTTTTTATAAATTACCATTTATTTACGCGTCTTACATATGAGTGAGATGTAGAAATGTCCATATTCAGCAGTGACAAAGAGGACGCATTCTACATCACATCTTTCTGCCTTCAACTAGAAATAACTATAGAAGCTAATAGGACACGAGAAGGCCATGGTTTCTCTTGATTTACCTATTGTTTTCGTTCGACACAGGGTTATATTGACAATAAGCATGACGTGGAATCATGCATGAGAGCAAAAGATTGTAAAATTTTCCTTCTCCCTTTCAATACTTGATTTTAAAGGAAAGGATCAAATTTATCCAAGCGTCAATTAAACGGAAATGGGATAAACCAGTTTACAGTGAATACATCCATGTCACACGTTCTACTTTGTTTGTTGTTTGGAAACAAGCATTTTGTGAATATTTGGTCGACATCCGAACCTATTTGAACATATGAAAGTGGTTAAACAAGTTTCGATTAATGCCTTGGTCCGATTTTCACTACGGAGCCCGGCCGATTGAGTATTTTGTTCAGAAATGTATTCTATTTCGAACAAATTACTCAATCGGCCGGGCGCCGGCCGATGAATCGCAGGAAATGTGACCCAGGCATTACACGGGTCTACTGGTTGTTCAGATTGTATGTGCCACACGTGTGATATCTCAGGGGCGTATCCTATAATATGACAAGAGGGAAACAATATATAATCCCTTTGGGCCCATTGATGAAATATTGAAAAAATGGGACCCGCATTTATCAGAAAATTTGTCTTTTTATCAAAAGTCTTAGAAGAAAATGATTAGATTGGACATTTTTATCCTTTTATATGATGACCGTATGATTTGTATAATATTTCTTAAAATGAGAAAATCAATCCTCAAACAAAGTCTGACCTTTAGTGTTATGAGTCTTACAAATCATATAAAGGGTCTATATCTATGAATGCGTGTTTAGTGGCAAAACATTCTGGCTCTATGAAACTGTGTTTACTGCTGAGAACTGACCGTTTGTTAAAATCATACTTCAAAGTGTTAAACTTACAATTCAAACTGAGTTATTTGAGGACAAAACACGCTTTGCAAATAATTACGTGAATTTCAATTAAATTGCTCGCTGCGAAACAGACCCATCGAGACCATGTACTACTAGAATATAGTGATCGATTGGTCACTTTGCTATTTTTGAAAGGGGTCATTTTTGCCGAATCGCCAAATGTTGTTTGACATCTGAGAGGCGCATAGAAACCCCTCATGCCTTAAGATATACATATTCTTGACCGTTTGTTAACTCAAATAATGATGTCATCATTTTCAGATTTTGATTGTACACTGTGTAAGATAATGGTTATGTTTGAATTGTTACGGAAGCACATACCCAATCATGGAAATCATACCCAAAAGGAAATATGTTTCAGCAAGGATCACTTATGGTCTCAGCAGCTATGGTTCAAATATTGCCCATTATCATGATTATCATTCTTGATCCTTTGCAGGTACGTCTGAGCATGACTACACTAAAGGAACATGAAGAAACTGAAACCAACTTTCGCCCTCCTCAAAACAGGCGCCAGAGTATCGCTTCTAGCAAACTCAGTGATCCTGGCCCTGGCCCTGGCCAAGGCCAAGGTCAAGGCCTTAACCCAATACTTGTCAATCGTCGTTTGAGTCGTCGAGGGTCTATGATGGGTTCACAGATCATGTCGCTATTGGCTCATAGACGAATGTCCCGGATTTGGACTCAACAGTCTGACGACGGTCCATCGAAATTGCCCAAACATGTTGAACCAACATACAAACTTGAACCAGACGACCAGAAACGTTTTGCTGTAGCCAAAGTTGAAGCCGCCATTGAAAGCATCTTTAATGTGTACCTGGACGATAAAGAATATGATCCAACTACGTGTAAGGATCTCTCAGTTGATCTTGCTAACATGATCAAGAACAGGATCAAAGATTTTGATTTCAAACGTTTTAGACTTGTCAGTCACGTTATCATTGGACAGTGCCAAGATCAGGGAATCGAGGCTACCAGTAGGTGCGTCTGGAATACGAACACGGATAGATTCGCCTCTGTGAAGTATAAGAACGCTACTCTGTTTGCTGTGGCAACAGTATTTGGTGTATATTTAGATTAACAAGGTTTGAGTCGAAAAATAAATGTAAATATATACAAAAAGTGTTTTATTTTATTTTGTGGTAAACTAAAACATATTAGAGTACAATAAAGACCCTCTGAGACCATTCCTGGGCAGCTTGGATGAGTTCGATTTTACCCCCTATCACACCAAACTAGTTCTTACCCGTTCTTGCCAGTCCTACGAAAACGTCGTAAAACGGGCTCAATCTGGCTGTGGTCGGGAAATATGTCTAAAATAATTAGCTACTTCGTTCATAAACAGTCTTCAATACGTCCATCTCATTCGCAGTTCAGGTCGCACCACGTCGGTGTGCAACGTCGTATAACGCGTCCCTTAGTCTAGAAGGTCATCATGACCTGATTACAGAACGGTATGGTCGCCATTTGAATCATTTCAAAATTCTAAAACCACCTTCCCGTCTGAGAAAAATCATGAAGTTCGTAAATAGACCTTAGAAAGTTGCAGCTACGTTCATTCCGTTCGCACACAGTTTAAAACCAGTTTTGAAGAACGGAGTGGCAACTTGTTTGGTGTGAGAGCTATATTTTTGCTAACTCGTTCATAAGCAGTCTTTAATACGTTCTTAGTCAGTTTAAACCCGTTTGCAATTAGTTCTACCTCGTTCTCAATACGTCCTCGGACAGTTCAACTCGTTGTAAAAACGTAAAATACGACGGTTTCGTTCGTAGTACGCCCAGCTCGTCGTTAGTACGTTGTAACTCGTTCTAATTGTAGAACGTGACGACCACGAGAACATTTTGAGCATGTTCTAAGTTCTAGAGGACCTACCCGTTCGTGTACGTTCGATGAAGTTTGTAAATAGACCCCAAACGGTTCTAAGTACGTCCAGTACGTTCGTACACAGTTGAAGCCCGTATTCGAGAACGTAGTGAAAACTAGTTTGGTGTGATAGTAGGGTTAGAAAGAAAGCTGGTTGGGGAATAAAGTAGGTGCAGCCAGCTATGATAGTGATTATGTTGAAGAAGTGGATGTTAGAGTGTTGTTCAAATAAAAAGCATTTTTATCCTTTTATATGATTTCCGTATATGATCAAGAGGGGCCTTGATGACGTTCTTTTTCGAGATGACTGTGACTGGTACAATACCTATGAAGGCATTTGTAGACAGGAACGCACCACTAATTTTATTGATGACATTTCCCATTATAACTCTCTAAATACTTATTCCACCTTTAAGAACCATCCATACCAAGAAAATTATCTAAAACAAGACTTTGATTTTTATGGTTCTAGACTCAAATTTCTTGCAAGAACCAACAATTTTTGCCTTGAATCCAATTACTCTGTATGGGGCAAAAGTGATGGCAAATGTAAACTTTGTAGTTTGAATGTACTTACAGCATAGGTTGCTGCTGTGTGAACATTTTAAAGAAGAACGTGAATCCCTTTTCCACACTGTTTGTAAGCAATGTCCCTCCGATTTATTTTCTGATTTCATTAAGGGCAATCTGACTGAAAAATTGACCTTTATTCTTGGTGATGAGACTTTTTCAAAATGGGGGCAAGACTATTTTAGATTATTTGATAGCATTGTAAAACGCTTTTTAACCCAAGTGTACAAGCCCAGAGATTTATTTCTTTGATTATTTTAGTATATGCAACATTGTTTTAAAGAAATTATACATGACTTTGTATTCTATTCATATTGTATAGTTGTATGTAGCCGCACTGGATAATAATCCATGTGCCACTGTTATAAAAGTGTTGGCAAATAAATAAAAAAAAAATATGATTTATATAATTTTATCAAAATGAGTAAAACACGTTTTAGTTAGGGTAGAGCAGATGAACGTCTGACATTTAGTGCGATTTATTCCTAAATTCAGGAAAGAAGTGATTGGAAGCGCTGATTAGATGGAGACTGTTTAGGAACTATATCGACTTACAAAATGTGCGAACGGTGCTAACGGTTATTTTTTAAAAATCAAATAAGACATATCTTTTTTTTTATCCGATGGATACTAAATATATTTGGGGATAACGACACGAGATAATTTTGGTATGCGCCACTAAAATCGTATCCGAGTCATATGACGTCTTAAAAATCGTATCCGACTCATATTATGGCAACTTTTAGTTCAAATTATTTTAAGTCCATATAAAAATAGCTGCCATAGGATAAATATGAAATCCTATGATTTTCTCGGGCTATCATTTTTATCCACTCTTGGATGCGCTCACTCGTGGAGATTGGGGATATCCACTCATGGATAAAAATGGTATCCCTCAAAAAGCATAGGATATCCTCTATCTTATCTATTAAAGTTGAGTGTTCAGAAGCTCGCACATTTTTCTAGATTTTTATGTCATGGCGTCTGTAACAAAATACGGCGTCTGTAACAAATGGCAGGTGGTGACATCGTGCATAGTGGTGACATATTATTATAGTCACCAACTTTTTTGTGAACTGTGTTCGGCGACTGTAACATGGGGTCTGTAACAAATTAAGGCGTCTGTAATAAATGGCATGTGGTGACATCTTCTGTTTTATTTAAGATGATATAAGACTCTAGTTCCACGCATGACTAAGGCTTTTCCCTCGAGAAGGATTTGGTTAGTCTTGGTCATATGTTATTTGATAGGTACCATCCCGGACGTTTTTCTGGTCGCACAGAGATCATATGCTGTTTTCTTAGTCAGCAGGGTCATGCCAAAAAACGTCCATATTTTTAATTTGGCAATAACTTTTCATTTATCTTCAAGGGCTTTCGAGGAAGAAAGGGTAACATAAAGTGCTCAGAATGGTGAAAATTGAATATCATCCAGTGACGAAATTATCCGTGTCTAGTGTCTGTTTACCTCAAGTTTATTTTTCAGAAACCCATGAATATTTATTTATCCCATTTTAGGTGTAATTAAAAAAGTATATGCATTTACAAAAAATGTTATATCAAAAAATTGCTTTCAAGTGTTGAATATATCATAAAAGTAGTAATGACATTTTTGTATCTATAGAGAAGCTAATAGAACATGAGAAGGCCATGATTTCTCAAGATAAAGAGGACGTGCCCAATTTCAAAATGAACCTACAGGGTTATATTGAAAATACAATAGGCATGACTTGAAATCATGCATGAGAGCAAAAGATTGTAAAATTTTCCTTCTCCCTTTCAATACTTGATTTTAAAGGAAAGGATCAAATTTATCCAAGCGTCAATTAAACGGAAATGGGATAAACCAGTTTACAGTGAATACATCCATGTCACACGTTCTACTTTGTTTGTTGTTTGGAAACAAGCATTTTGTGAATATTTGGTCGACATCCGAACCTATTTGAACATATGAAAGTGGTTAAACAAGTTTCGATTAATGCCTTGGTCACATTTGCTCCGATTTTCACTGGCGGCGCCCGGCCCATTGAGTAATTTGTTCAGAAATGTATTCAATTTCGAACAAATTACTCAATCGACCGGGCGCCGGCCGATGAATCGCAGGAAATGTGACCCAGGCATTACACGGGTCTACTGGTTGTTCAGATTGTATGTGCCACACGTGTAATATCTCAGGGGCGTTCCCTATAATATGACAAGAGGGAAACAATATATAATCCCTTTGGGCCCATTGATGAAATATTGAAAAAATGGGACCCGCATTTATCAGAAAATTTGTCTTTTTATCAAAAGTCTTCTAAGGAAAAAAAGAAAATGATTAGATTGGACATTGTTATCCTTTTATATGATGACCGTATGATTTGAATAATGTTTTTTTAAATGAGAAAATCACTCTTCAAACAAAAGTCTGACCTTTAGTGTTATGAGCCTTACAAATCATATAAAGGGTCTATATCTATGAATGCGTGTTTAGTAGCAAAACATTCTGGCTCTATGAGACTGTGTTTACTGCTGAGAACTGACCGTTTGTTAAAATCATACTTCAAAGTGTTAAACTTACAATTCAAACTGAGTTGTTTGAGGACAAAACACGCTTTGCAAATAATTACGTTTTGTTCCCTGAATTTCAATTAAATTGCTCGCTGCGAAACAAACCCATCGAGACCATGGAGGACTAGTAATCGATTGATCACTTTGCTATTTTGAAAGGGGTCATTTTTGCCGAATCGCCAAATGTTGTTAGACATCTGAGAGGCGCACAGAAACCCCTCATCCCTTAAGATATACATATTCTTGACCGTTTGTTAACTCAAATAACGATGTCATCATTTTCAGATTTTGATTGTACACTGTGTAAGCTTATGATTATGTTTGCATTGTTACGGAAGCGCATACCCAATCATGTCCAAAAGGAAATATGTTTCAGGATGGATCACTTATGACCTCACCAGCTATGGTTCAGATATTGCCCATTATCATGATTATCATTCTTGATCCTTTGCAGGTACGTCTGAGTATGACTACACTAAAGGAACATGAAGAAACTGAAACCAACTTTCGCCCTCCTCAAAACAGGCGCCAGAGTATCGCTTCTAGCAAACTCAGTGATCCTGGCCCTGGCCAAGGCCAAGGTCAAGGCCTTAACCCAATACTTGTCAATCGTCGTTTGAGTCGTCGAGGGTCCATGATGGGTTCACAGATCATGTCGCTATTGGCTCATAGACGAATGTCCCGAATGTGGACTCAACAGTCTGACGACGGTCCATCAAAATTGCCCAAACATGTTGAACCAACATACAAACTTGAACCAGACGACCAGAAACGTTTTGCTGTAGCCAAAGTAGAAGCCGCTATTGAAAGCATCTTTAATGTGTATCTGGACGATAAAGAATATGATCCAACTACGTGTAAGGATCTCGCCGTTGATCTTGCTAACATGATTAAGAACAGGATCAAAGATTTTGATTTCAAACGTTTTAGACTTGTCAGTCACGTTATCATTGGACAGTGCCAAGATCAGGGAATCGAGGCTACCAGTAGGTGCGTCTGGAATACGAACACGGATAGATTCGCTTCTGTGAAGTATAAGAACGCTACTCTGTTTGCTGTGGCAACAGTATTTGGTGTATATTTAGATTAACAAGATTTGAGTCGAAAAATAAATGTAAATATAAAAAATGTTTTCTTTCATTTTGTGTTATATAAACTAAATATATTAGAGTGCAATAAAGACCCTCTGAGGCCAATCCTGGGCAGCTTGGATGAGTTCCTCTGATTTTAGAAAGAAAGCTGATTGGGGAATAAAGAAGGTAGCACTGGCGGATCTAGGGGCCTAGCGCCCCTCACTTTGGGCGGGCCCAGAAAAAAATTGGGCCCAAAAAGGCCTTAGGCCTTATTTTTTAATTTTTAGACCAAATTTAGAAGAAAATGGGCCTCAAAATTTCAGATCCCAGATCCGCCCCTGGGTGCAGCCTGCTGCTTGTTATATTTATTATGTTGAAGAAGTGGGTGTTAGGGTGTTGTTTGAGTAAAAAGCATTTTTATATGATTTCCGTATATGATTTAGCCTATATAATTTTATCAAAATGAGTAAAACACATTTTAGTCGGGGTAAAGCAAATGAACGTTTGACCTTTACTAGTGTGACTAATTCCTAAATTCAGGAAAAGGTGATTGTGGGAGCGCTGATTGGATAGAGACTGTATGGGAACTATATCGACTTACAAAATGTGTATATGTGAACTAAATTACAAAATTAGCCTAATGGCGGCGGTGCCAACGGTTATTTTTTGAAAATTGAACAAGACATATCTTTTTATATATATTAAAATTGAGTGTTCAGAACTCCCACATTTTTTCTAGATTTTTATGTCACCACACAAAATACTGCGTCTGTAAAAAATATGACAGGTGGTGACATCTTGCATAGTGGTGACAAAAAATTGTTATGGTCTCCAACTTTTTTGTGAACCGGCGGTGTTCGGCGTTCGGCGTCTGTAACATGGGGTCTGTAACAAAATGCGCATGTCAGTAATAAATGGTATGTGGTGACATCTTTTGTTGTATTTAGATGATATAAAACTCTTTTGTTCCACGCATGGTGGCTTTTTCCCTCGAGAAGGATTTTTTGAGTCTTGGTCATATGTTATTTAAAGGTAACGGACGTTTTTCTGGTCGCACAAGGGATCATATGCTGTTTTCTTAGTCAGCAGGGATCATGCCAGAAACGTCCATATTTTTAATTTGGCAATAACTTTTCATCTTTAGGGGTTTTCGAGGAAGAAAGGGTAACATACTTGCCCGTAGCCAACTTTTACCAGGGAGTGGGCTTTTTCCCGGGGGGGGGGGGGGCTTTGGCCGTACCATGTGAAAAGTCCTCAGAATGGTGAAAATTGAATATCATCCTATATTACCTTTATTTTTCGGAAACCCCTGAAGATTTATTTATCCCATTTTAGGTGTAATTAAAAAACTAGGCTAATTTCTGCATCCCCTGCGAAAATGGCATCTAAGTTAATGCATTTACAAAATTTAAACATATAATAGCTTTCGGCAGTGTTTAATCAAGGACGTCCTTGGTTCAGTATCATAAAAGTCATATGGCATCTTTCAGTGAGAGCCAGAGTAATTAATCGTAATTGAAAACAACTGCATTGGTCACGCCATCGCATCAGTGCCCCTCGGAACTTTACACATTCACGTAGAAGCAAGCGTTAAATGTACGAACTTACTTCGAATCCTAAATTTATGTCGTTCGCATATCTATCGGCGCACTACTTCCGGAATCCGGGAAAATTAAAATCTTGAGAAATATTTTGTATTTAGTTTAATTGCGGGGTAGATGGTACCAAACGTTTAACTTATACACTTACTGATAAGTTGAATATTGTATTTTATGAATTTGACCGCCATAAGTATTCAAGAATTGCCAAAAAGTCAGGTAAGTATATTGAGCAGTAGCCTTATTATTTTTTCGAGAGACCTCAGGATCTGATTGTCTGAACCTCCCTGTGCAGGCTCTAGGCTACTAACTTTGCATTTGTTCGGCTTCACTGCTTAAAAGAGAGCTTCTTGACTCTTCCAGTTTACAATAAATCTCTGAACTCACTGCGCCATTCAGAGTTCGTCGTCGAAATACGGATGACATTCTTTAATATGGTAATTTCCCAGGGGTAATTTTGTTTGTTTGAATCCTTTTATGCGCTATTATGCCGCTAAATGGGCTTGTTTTTCACCTGTGCTTACACGTCTTGTGCTTCTCACTTTTGCTTATATTTTCATAAAGTCTAAAGTCACTTATACTAATACATCTTCTGGTTTGCCTTATGTAGCTACAAAAGGCATTATATAATTTCCTGTTTGATGATTCCGACAGGTTCGTGTTTAGTCCAAACAGGGTATGTAGATCAAGGGGACGGTTTTCCCCGAGGATAATCTGACGTCATTGCATAGTTAATGAGCATGCATTTTAGCATGTGTTTCTTCCAGCTCGCTGATTAGTGGAGAAAAGATGAGCGTTGTAGATTTTACCCAGGTTGTCACGGGCATAGGTCGTGGGGGCAGGGTTACTAAACTGTAATATAGTCTATACTAGCTCAGATACTAGGCAGAAGGTAGTTTATAACTAGTCTCTCCGCGTAGGATATGCAGATACGTTTGGTGTGACTGCACAGAATCCATTTTTTGATCCAGTCCCCGGGGATTTCATTCATGGTGCTGAAGAAAAGGACACTCGGAGGAGAGAAGAACTATGTGCACTGGTGAAAGAGATGGAGAAGCATGGAGCGCAAGTATTCATCTTGAAAGAGGCTGTTTTTAGATGTGGATGTACAATGTAACATGTAGATGCACCCCTCCCCTCGAAAAATCCTTTGTATGTATACTAATCAATCAGATCAGATGCATTTGTTTGTATTTATAGGAGCTGCAGCCTGAACATACTGCATTCAAAATGATAACCTTTTGATAAGACAACATTACAAAGTACATGCTATCGTGACCTCTCATGACACAGGAGATAGTACATGTGTGTTTGAATTACAGAACATGTACCTTTGAAGGTATGTAGTATTTGAAACAGGGGGCTATACAGAAGAACTTGAAAAAAGAAATATTAGCAAATGAACTGTTCATAATATTGTGGTGAACAGATACATAGTATTGGATTGAAAGCATGTGTTTGTACTATATCTAGTAGGGAAAATGATTTGATAATTTATACACAAATAGAAGTCATTGCCAGGACATCTTCAAAGATATCAGATTCTCATGCACATTTCCAAGATTCTGAATTCTTCAGACAGGAATCTCTACAAGATCGGAAGCTGCCAAGACTCTTATCCATATCTTCCAAGGTTATATAATTCCAATTTTGATTTCAGAATATCTGATTGATAAAGATGGCAGCTTATACTATTTTCTGGAGTGTTATATTGATATTGTACAGTGTAGAAGGAGTCCCACAGTTAAGACCCCCTAAACCTATAGGAATGGTTTATGTCACTGGAACACATTACCAAGTTGGAAAACAAGTGGTGAGATTTCAAGATTTATGTTCTTATAATGATATTAAAGCAAGAGCTAATCTGTGGCTAGACTAGATAAAATAATGTTTGAACTTATATGTACAATGTTGAAACTTTGCAACTCATCCATGTATGTATGTGTGTGTGTGTGTGTTTTTTTTTTGGGGGGGGTCACCATGGGTTGTAGCACGATTATTTCCTTGTTTATTTAGCCAATGTTTTGCAGTGTTAAATGACTTAATTCTACCAATCATATATTGCATTCCTTTTGTCATCCTATTTGGATATTGACGTTTGAGAAGCTGTATTATAGCATAACATTGACTTTAAATATCATTTATATTTCAGGGATACACTTTCAGGAACAACATTCAAGAGTATTTCCAATTGAATACAGAACTACAAACAAAAGTTATTCCTTTTGTCAAAGGTGCAGGAAAAAAGGTACCACTTCATTCTAAATTTAAAACATTAAGTTTTAATTAGGATCAGTAAAAAGCCTTTGCCCTTTCAATAGGGTTCATAACTAAGGTGAAAAACATGATTGGCACAAGTAACATATTGACATGGACACGTGGTACTAACTCACCGGGGCGTATCGAAAACAAATCGCCCCGCAACTGTTCGAAATTGACCAAAACACCCTGTTGTCTTCCAAAATGCCCCTCAGAGTCTATGACTACAAACGTGTAGTTTCAAGGTGTAATGATCCAACGGGGCATTTTGGAAGAGAACGGGGCGTTTTGATAAATTTCGAACAGATGCGTAGGACTTTTGGAAATTGCTGCGGTTAATGTAATAAATATGTTGATGCAGAGATGGAGGGTTTTAATGGGAGTCCTTGTGCAAAATATAGGGGAGAATAATAAAAGAACTTGCGATATATTGAGGCTTTTGGTTGAAATCTCTGAAGATTTGCATCTTCTCACATCTGGGGACCAAAACACTGTTAAAACGAGTGTGAAGGTTTTAATGGAACAAGTTTGAAGAAAAACGGTGTACTGTGAGACTCACAATCATTGATTTTCCAAAGAAAGGGTAGGTTTAAAATTCAAATTAATGGTTTTGCGGGGCGTTTTGGTTTTGACACGCCCCGGTGAGTTAGTACCGCGGGATGGAGTCCTTTGCTCAATAGCCAACCAGTTTTTCCAAGTCCATTGCTAAGAACCAAAAGTTTTTTCCCTTGGCAGTAAGGCAAGTGTGAGTTTTGAACCCTGCCTTTTAATGACGCATCCCTGACATGGCATCTGAAAAAAGATCTGTGATGATATACTTCAAATGAGTAAGATAACACAGTTTTTGAATGTATAAAGGAAATTTAGCTGCCAAGACTCATGATTTCAGATTTATGATGGCTTCATATCTACCATCAACGCCACCTATCCACAATACTTAGAGGAGATGCAGGGTATAGCAGAGGGAGCCAATGTCTCTGAGACTGAGGTAGGATTCAGCGATCTTTCTATCATTAAAGCAAGTGGGCATTGCTCACTTGAGATTTCAATAATAGACTTGCACCCACCTGAGCCACCTGAGAATCCATTTGCACCTAATTGAATTTCCTAATACAGTAAAACCTCTGTAAGTGGAACACCATTGGTACCTCTGAAAAGTGTTCCATTTGGGAGGTGTTCCACTTACAGTGGGTCATTAAACAACAAGTCAATAGGCTGTAGGACTCTGAAAAGTGTTGAAAGTGTCAATTTCCTCCTCTTTGAGACATGTTCTACCCTGGGCGCTTTAGTGATTTTCTTGATACAGTAAAAGCTGTGTAAGTTGAACACGTTTGGTACCTCTAAAAAGTATTCCATTTGGAAGGAGTTCCATTTACAGAGGGTCATTTAACAATAAGTCACTAGGCTGTAGGATTCTTAAAAATGTTCCACTTGGAGGTGTTCCACTTACAGAGGTGTTCATATTTCACTGTATATCTTTTTCAGGTTTTTGTCCAGATAATGTATGTGGAATTAACTCACTATATGAGTGGTGGTAAGAAAACTGATGGAGCTTGTACAGATCTCTATGTCAACTATGGTTACCCACATGTAAGTAGTGACATCTTTATTTTCATTTTTCTTCTGAATGCGTCCAGTTTGTTACCAGGATGGCTATGGCTACCCACTTGTTAGTGGTGACATCTTTTAGTAGAGTTAGTAGAATATTGCATAAAGTTAAAGTTCGTATTAAAATGAGGATAATACAGAGAAACAACTTTATATGTCACCACCATAAAGCTTTGTAACCAGCAATGACAACATTTGTAACAATTGCTACAAAAGCAACCAGTTTTTAGTTAAAATTGGCAAATTTAGGCAAGTTGGCAGTATTTGGCAGAATTATAAATATTGAGCCCCTCAAAAAGTGTTCAAAATGTTGACAAATTCCGATGTCTTTTTCTTTATAAAAGCTGGCTTCGTGACATTTGCATGCTTTTACAGGATTGCAGTTTGACAATTTCAGGTTGCTATAGGTCACAACGAGGATGCTGACCCATTGATTGCAGGGAGGGGGTATATCGTGGATGCTGATATTATCAATGACAGACCCAGAGGGAGGTTAACTGTACCCAGGGAACAGTTTGTTGCCTACACATACCCAGGTAATTTATATGTAACCCATCCCTGTTTTAGTGCATATTAATTAGTAACAAATTAGAAGTGCTGTTCAGTATTGGGGTCACTGAGTTATTATGTAGGCTTTACATTGTTTTAATATACAAGTTATAATAGAAGGAAATAAGGACTGATAAGTTAGATAAGTGCTCCCATATGTACATTTTGAACATCTTGTTTCTTTTGCAAGATGATGAAGATGAATCTGATTTTTAGCATTCAAAAATTGTAAAAAGTGGAAAGTATGATGCTAGTTATCTAAGAATCACTTTAGTTTTTCAAATTCCTCATAATAATGTTCTGGTACTGATGGGCTTAATACAGTAATAAAACGTAGTTTGTATATGTAGTAGCTCAATGCTCTGATGGTATTGATTGATGGTATTAAACATAACCCAACAACAGGGGTTTCATTACAGCAGGCAAAACAAATTAAAAAACAGGCAAAATTATTTGAAAGAAAAATTGTAATTTTAACATGGTAACATTTGCAAAATTCCTCAAAACATGTGATTTCTGTAGAAACAACTACAGCTACCTACTCTTAAAAGTTAATATCTTTCTCTTTTATACTGGAGCTAACTTAGTGTATGGACCTCAGGCCCATAGCCAGGGGGGGTTCGCAGGGTTCGGGCGAACCCCACCTGGCCAAAAATTCTTTCAAAATCATGCAGTTTTTCACCATTTTGAGCACTTCTCAAGTGATTTTAGCCATATTTGGGAAATGTGAACCCCCCTGGAAAATTTTGAAAACTGAACCCCCCCTTGGCAAATCCTGGCTACGGGCCTGGACCTTTGCATTCAGGTGGTCATTGGGGCATGTCTTTCAGATGCTTCTGTTTACCCCTTTTACTGTGCTCCAACATAAAAACAGCAAACTTCGTGATTCCTGATTGATGATTGTGTGACAAAAGTTTAGCTTGCCCCAGTGGTGCTAATATTCACTCTAATGATAGATTGAGCATATGTTTGTAGCTGTTGTATCTGATAATGGGGAATCACTCATTAGTATCTGATATAATGTGGTGCTATACCCTTGACAAGAGCCTGGCACAAGCTATCCTCTTTAAGAGGGAACACAAAAAACAATTGGAATCAATATAATTGATCTGGCTCTGGCCTATATCAAATGTCAATAAATACCAAATAATTTAATCCAGAGACTCCCATGAATGGATATGAGATTATCCAATATGAGGTTCAGGATATTGGAATTATCACAAGCCAATATGTTACATGTATATCTGCCCCCCCCCCCCCGGCCACAACATAAAACTAATATACTTCCTACCTTGAAAATACAGCTTTTTCCAAACCTGCTTTATATACCTCAAACCCAACCAAGCAATTACTAGGATATCTCATCAGCAATAAACTCCAAAATCATCCAGTATAATCAGAGGGCAATGTGGTAAGCTAAATTTGATGCAGGGTAATGATGATATATTATAGATTAGACGCTAATGTTCCCTGACATAATACTTGTTGACTTGAATTTATTTTTAGGAAAAATTATGGTGATTGTTTTCATGAGAGGTGATATGGGTATAATATGGTTTCCTGGATACTTAAATAATCATTGCCATCTGGATCTAGCTTGAGATTAATGGAGAATTGTATGGTTTCGGAAAGTAAAAGTTATCTTTTATTACTATACTGAGTGTCAGCGCGAGTTATTGGAGACGATAGTACTATGTGTATGTCTATGTGAAGTTTGAAAAAAATGTGCACAGGTTATCATGATTGACTTATTAATTTGTTGATTACAGCCCTGACCAAAGTATGAGGAAGTTCTGTTGAATACAGTATATACCATAGATAAGGAAAAAGTTTTAATTTTGAATACCAAAATGACTTAAAAATACTGAACTGATCAGGTCTGTACCTGTATTTAGGCAATTTCTTATTTTCGCATCTCAAAAGCAAGGAAAGCATCTTACAGTTGCCCTTTAAAAATGTATTTCTAAGAGAGTCTTGCTTCTTGCTTCAGGAACCACCCCCCTCTATTGTCTCAGTTAAATGTATATGTATACCCTAGGTACTTGCATGCAAGCTGTAGTGAACATAGCAATTATTTCAAAACATAAACAAACGTAGCAATCCTACAGTATATTACCTAAATAGTTGTTACACCCCCTCCAAAAGTTTGACATCCCCAACTCCCCCTATTGGACCACACGTGAAACAGGCTTTAGCTCATAATCTAACAGAGGGTTAAATTTGGGTTGCTGAATTGTAAATGATTACAATATTATACTCGATTTTTCAATATTCTGTCAAAGTTATTTAAATCTACATACAAAAATACTTCTAAAATGTATGTTTTATTTGAAAATGAGATATCTCGGTCACTGGTGAAATGTAATATTTCTTTTTTTGTATTGAACAGATAATTCATTTTATATATTTGTTTTTTTTACTGAACTCAAAAAGTTAAAATGAAAATTGATCTACAAAATCAATTAATTATTCAAGTTTATGGGAACTTTTTGTATGTCTGCCACGTGATCAGACTTGGGTTTGCCACCTTGTGGGGAATCTGGTAAGTGGTAACTGCTTACTGGTTGTTATGTGATTGCTATTCATGACAACTTGATTTCCCCATGATGAAAATTACCATTTTCTAGTGATGCCTGGTACAATTTGAAACTCCTATCAACATCAGTAAGAACATACCCTTTTCATTCGTTTCACTTTGTTTCTTAAAAGAGAGCTTCATCTTTACTCTTTCAGTTTAAAATAAATCTTTGAACATACGCCATTTGGAGTTTGTTGTCATTTCCTCTGGCGTCATCGCATAATTAATGAGCATGCATTTAGTATGTGTTCCTTCCAGCTCGCTAATTGGTTGAGAAAAGATCAGCGTGATAGGTGCGAAATGATTAATTACCCATACTTTCACAGGCATATGCCGAGGGGGCGTGGTTGTTTAACTGTAATGTAGTTTTCACTAGGCAGAGGGTAGTTTATACCTATTAACTAGCCTCTGCGCGCAGGGTAGTTAACATTGTGTCCAATAGTGGGACATAAGCAATCAATAGACTAGTATGATATGATAGGCTGGCATAGGTAGATCCACTGTGTATTGTTACACATGATAAAATACAGTAATTTGATTATTTTCTCCATTATTAATAATTCACAAGGGAGTGATAGAAAGCCTGCTATCGTCACAACTACTATTTACTTGATGTGCTTACTACAACATCTAAAACACTACTTTCTGTAAAATTGATTTTGTGCATAAATATTGTATTAAGGTAGTTGTTCACTGGCAATAGGTGGCCCCATGGTATAGAATAGGAGCAATGATTTGATGAGTGTTCAGCTTTAGGACATTTTGTGATGTCACACTTTTGAAAAATGAGTTTTCTAGTTTATATTGATGTATATGAGTCCATAATTTTGATGGATTTAATGGATTATAACCAGTAATGGTAATTTTAATGTATTTTTGTACTTTTGTTCATTATTAGAAACATATTAGACAAAAACATAAAAAATTGAAATATTACTTTTCAGTGTGCAAAAATTAGATAATTCTGTCATTCAGTTTTTGAGACTTAAAAATTTCTTAATCCCTACTCTCCTATTTCCTAACATGGATCCCAAAAATGTTTTCTAGCTTTAAGTAAAAAACGAAGTCAGCAACACAACTTTTTTGTTTGATTATGAAGCATAATTATGTCTTGGTAATTTTATCGTAAAGTTATTGTCAGGCCTCCTTAACTTCAATAATAAAATAGGATATTTACACTATTTTGTCTTGCTTTATCATCTATTTAATGGCTTGGTTCTTGTATGAATCCAATGTGACCCCCTCCCTCTGAACAAACAACTGGAACTGAGGTAGTTAGTAGATCGGGTGAAGGGGGAAGCAGAGACATTATACAAAATGTGGTTTTGAAATTAACAGTTGCGACCCTGAGTGCTAGAGCTTCATACTTTATGCTTTGAATGGCAAACATACATAAACAGTTTTGATACTCATGAGATCTTTTTTTGTAAATGACCCCAAAGGGAGCCTTTAATGAGAGTTTTATTGTGAAATGAGTGCCAGGTATTTATGAAAGCATAAAATTCAGTGAATGCTATTTTAATTTGGTAGCTTGAATTTTATCAGCCTTGATTTGGTTAAAGCATGATCAAACAAGTATCTCATATGATAACTCAAAGAGTGTAGGCGAAGTTCTCTTTTGAGAATCAAAATCAAACTATCGCAGAGTAAACAATTGTCTAATTGCCAATACCTATCAGTTTTCTTAGATACTGTAAATTGCTTTAATTTGGCGGATTGGGCAAATATTTGAAATTTTGGCTGCTGTTTAATTTGGCATTTTGACCATCACCAGTCGTATTACTCAATTAACAGCTCACTAACGATAAAGCAATTTAGCTCTCCTGGTATTAGATTGTTTTATCTTATTAATCCACCAAATCAGCCAAATTAAAACGTCCGTCAAATTAAGGCAATTTACAGTATGGAAAACTGGTTACCTATTAGGCAAATATGCTGAATATGGTAATTTATGCATGGCAATCCTGTTTTCAATAGGGATATGTATATATAAACTTTATGATGGTAAACGCATCAGTCTTTGTCATTTCTCACTTAGCATATTGACAATAAAGTGTTACTAATTAACCTACTATTAGGTATTGATAAATTTCATGACTCAGGTGTGTAGAACTTTTAGGTTTTTATTTATCGGGAGAATCTCAATGGAAGTGGCACATAAATGTCTGATATGATGTTATTCTGCGATATTTAGTTCGCCATAATTTTGACTGAACCATAATGGAATATCATACTTTATGTTTATGTATCTTAACTTAATTTCGTTTTTGACGTGGTATCACTTGAACAAATATGGTAAGAACGTAAATTATTCATGATTTATTTGAGTAATGGGATGTATTACATGTTGTTAATTGAGAGTGGTTTTGCGATCATATTTCAGTTAGATTAGTCATCAGACATAAAATTGTGAGTTGTTTAATGGATTCCGCTCTATCTCTCTTTCTGAACCACTTTGTTTTTAACCATTCTATCTCTCTCTCTATTTGAACTCCTCTAGGACCATATTTGGACAACTCCATGATTTGAACCACTCTCTATTTTGAACACTCCATCATAGGACCACTCTCTATATGGACCACTTCATGATAGGACCATATTTGGACAACTCCATGATATGACCTCTATGTATTTGAACCACTCTCTATTTTGAACACTCCATCATAGGACCACTCTCTATATGGACCACTTCATGATAGGACCATATTTGGACAACTCCATGATATGACCTCTATGTATTTGAACCACTCTCCATTTGGAACACTCCATTATAGGACCACTCTCTATTATGGACCACTTCATGATCGGACCACTTTTTATTTGGACAACTCCATATAAATTCAATACCACACTCTTAACAGGACAATTCTGAATTTCTATGTCATATAACATCTATTATTATAAAATGGCAAGCATTATTTACAAGTTTACAAAATGTTGACACTCATGTAGAACATATACACTATACAGATCGTAAAATGTTACTTATTTTATGATGGCTATTAGTCAAGTGACAATAAAAGATAATGAGAGTAAATGATAGTTAATCTGAAATACAATTATATTGAGCATTGTTATTAGATAATATATCAGCACACTCTGATGGATCTCGCAGATAAAAATCTCGCAGTTGTGAAAATTGCAACCGTTTTAAAAAAAAAAAGATTCACTCAACTGTATCGATCTTTTGATATTCCTTCAATACCTTATTTGTACATACAGTAATATTACTTATTTGACTCAGTAACATGTGGAATTATTCTCATAATCTAATATCAAGACAAAGTTTTAATGTTTAATTTATAATTAAGCCAGGCCTTATAATAACTGCTATGTGAAGGCATAATGAAATCAATACATCTAATTTAAGAATACAATAACATTAAGTAATATTTATATTTTCAATATACAGGAAAACCTCTGCAAATGAACACCCCTTAGAATTTAACCTCGTGAATGGGACATGAGGTTTTCTTCTCAAATGACTTCCATATTGGGTATATTTCTCCATTGACTTCCATATTAGGGATATTTCTCATATGACTTCCATATTAGGGATATTTCTCAAATGACTTCCATATTAGGTTTATTTCTCCAGTGAATTCCATATTGGGTATATTTCTCCATTGACTTCCATATTAGGGATATTTTTCAAATGACTATCGTGTAATTAGAACACATGTCTTTTATATTATTGGAGGCACCAACCAAATGTTACATTGCACAGGTTTTCCTGTATTCTACTTTTGATTCATTGTTAAAAGATCTTAAAAATCATAATTTACAAGTATGAGATCTGCACATGTACACAGCTGAAGCAGTCAGGGTGCTGTTGTGACTTTTAGATGTGTTATCAATGGTCCAAATTAATTAGCTACTAATATTCTATTCTGCCTACCTTAATTAACCTACTTACTCATTCTACTCTGTCTACCTAAATTCACTTTTTGTTTTAAAAAAGATATAAATCTAAATAGCAGTGACCTCCCCAGGATTAAAGTGGATGCTGCACCCACTATTGCACCCACTTGAGAATTCATTTGCACACACTTGAAAATGAGAAAAATTGTGAAAAAGTGGTACATTTTGACCACATTTGGTCGAAGTTGTGAAATCAAGAATTTTGCACCCACTCGAGATAAAATTCTGAGGAGAACACTAAATAGGAACCTCATTTATGTATACATGTACATAGAAGTATGAAAGTTGATCTGTAAACTGAAAGACCCTTTAAAAGTTGACATAAAGCATATTGTCGTGCATATACACATCTCTGAAGTCAAAACCTCTTTGAAGTTATCACCTTCACACTGAAGTAGACATATTACTGAAGTGAACACCTCTTTAAAACCTTTCAAAAGTGAACCCTCTCTGAAATGAGTACCGCTCTGAAGTGTCAGATGTTAACACCTTTCATATGTGAAGATCTCTTTAAAGTGAGCACCTCTTTGAAAAGCACCTCTGTGAAGTGTACAAGTACCCCTCTCAGAACTGATGACCTTGAAATGTAGACAGTTTCCTCAATTCCAATTTTTATCATGTTTCATAGACAAGACACACATGTTATTACAACCATTTTATGAGATCATTTGCACAGGTGAACACTTTTAGCAAATAAAGCAATCCAGCAATTATTCATTTTAGACAGGTTAAACTGAACATCATAGTCTACTTATCATGCCTGACTCAACTGGCCCGTCATTGTTCAAAGTTACAATCATTGTAGGCTTTGGTGATCCTCCACAGCGCCTACATGATTTCTTGTTGGATATTGTCACAGGACTTTGGTTGCTAGATGCACTATTATCATCATTTAGGGGTGTCAATTCACCAGTGTTTAATGATGTCATAACACGCCGACTTTCTGGTGTCATGTTGTCATCATCTGTTGATGACCTATATCGCGTTTTAGGTGATATTTTGATATTGTCATTGAATGGTATTAACTTCCCATCATTTGATGACACTGTACTATTATGTGATATGAGAGTGCTACTCTGTGAAGTCACAGTTTCACTATTATTACGATTCCTATCTGTCCGATTCACTTCAAGAAGGCGATCATCGAGACAACTTTCAGATAATGGTGTCAATGTTTCATCATGTTCACGATTTTCATGATTTTGACGGCCTCGGACAGGTATTGTTCGTTTTATACGTCTTAGGACGTAAAGGATGAATCCGATCAAGGTGAAGATCAATGCAAGCAGGACACCTAATCCCACAGCCAACATCCAAATTTGGGTATAACTCTCCTGTGGTTTGTCTCGCTTGAGTTGCAATGTCACACTCGCTTTTTCTCCTACTTTTCCATTGAATTGATTGCGGGCCTCACAGGTGTACTCCCCAGAAAGGTCCTTATGGAATTTAGCTAGTTCTAAGGAACTTTTCGAGGATACTGCATACAAAGGTTTTTTGTAGTCGATTGGTATGAAATACCAGCTGAAATTTGCTACTGGGTTGGCAGAAGCAGAGCACATTATCGTGATATGGACCCCCTTTTCAAGTTTCATTATTCGGTTTGTGAAATCTCGTGAGTTAATGGTCAGTTTTGGTGACCTTGCTGCGAACAAGACATTGTATTTGGTTTTGCAATGATCCTGAATGTTCATATACTTAAACATGCATACCACTTCATGACCATTTAGAGCTACGTCAGCTGTTTCATTAATACGAGACTTAGTATTGTTATGAGCGATCTTAACTTCAGATGCAGAGATAGCTTCGTTACCTTTTGTCCATACAATATGTGGTATCTTTCCAATATCGTTATGATCAGAAAATGCAAGGGAACATTCTGACATTATAGTATCACCCTCCTGTACCTCTGACTCTCTTGAGGGACATTTTAGATGATCCAAAACAACCAGTTGCACTTCTCTGCCACCTATAGTTTTACCATCGATTGTATTGTAACATCTATATTTTCCACTGTCACTGTAGGTCAGGTTCTTGATGATCAAACTATATGGTGCTCTAGAACTTATCTTATATTTTCCTGGCAGTTTCTTTGACATATCCTTGAGTATTTTCTCACATCGCGATATCTGAATCTCATTGGAATCTGCATTTGATTTTCTGTACCAGAGTAGCCCGCATTCATCAGTGTCGTTAATATGACAGTCCATGATGATGTCAGAACCTACGAATCCTGCTTTATCTTCGGGGACACGAACGAAGCCACCAAATATAGCTTTGCTAAAGAGAACTAATGTTACTGCTACCTTCAGAACTTTCATTTTGATAAATCCTATTAATCGCGAAAATTAATCCAATGAGTCGTCATACAGTGTTAGTCCCAGATAACAATCCCACGAGGGATGGATGTTCACATGTAATAACCTATCTCAAAACCCATTAGTTACTTAGTCCATACAGTGCTTGGAACGGAGTAATGGATAATGCATGTATAGAGAAAACCAGACTCAGTTCTGTATTTTTTGTAATAGGATATATGAATTAGTCGTTAATGTACAGTATTTGATGATAGCTCTCATTGTTATGAATATAGATTCCTTTTTAGGATGATATTATCTCCGCGATAACGAGTATATTATCATATTGTTTTACCTCTTTCTGTTAGTGCTTTGTCAATATCACATTCCAACTTATTCACTTCAGTTTTCTATTAATGTTCCAATTATAGTTTTCTATAGAAAAATGATTTATTCCGTTTACTTTGCTATCTTCTTTGACTGCACAGTTGTGTAGTTTAATAAATGAAATATTTTTATAGCCTGTTTTCTTGCATTCAATTCTTCTTTTTCAGGAGTATGCAATCTATACTTTTGTTCATTAATGATTATACATACATGAACCATACAAAAAGTTTTCAATGTATTTAAAGTCTTGTCTAGTATAAAGCTTTTATTTTTTGAAACTGACATAAAAATAATTTGTTAGTTTTATTTTTGATTACCTTTACTTTTTAATGTTCTGTAATATTATACCTACATGCACATCCAATAGATTTTCTTATTCTTTAATTCGTTTGGTCTTTGTAATATTCTGTTAATTAGTAACATATAATAGCTGCTACTGTTTATTCCTTTTTATCCAATTATCCATAATACCTGTGCTGAAATGTAATCACTTCCTCTGGTGCTTATATCTCCGTTGTAAACACTTTAAAATCTTTATTGTTTGAGATTATAAAAGATATGTCTTATTACTTCATTATCAATGTTCTTACAGCACCAGGATGTGTATCAATAAAAAGTTGCTTTGTGTATGTTGCTGTGTTGACATGCTTCAGTATTCGCGCTTTGCTCGTTAATGAAGCATCAGATACCAGTACCCAATCATCAATGAAAAAGCATGTCAGTTTGTGCTTGAATCTCTTTGACGTGACAAACCTTTGTAAAATATGCCATTATCGTCATGTTTTAAAATTGAAATTAGAGTTGAGAAGAGTGGAGTTTGTAAGAAATAAAGTAAACAGGCATGTAGTAAACACTCTAAATTGTATAGAAATGCAAGAAAATCAGACGCTTTATTCAAATTTTAGAGAGAAAAGTGTGAAATTAGGATGAACAGATATATAATTTATGGATTGGATGTAGCACCAATCACACACGATAATTATCAGGTATGCATTTCCCTATCCCCTTGATAATCGCAAATGAATTTCAGATGAACAAAATAACTGTTTTGAGAGTTTTTCTTTTCTTGTGTTCAGAAAGGGTAGTTGTGCATTGAATTTATTTTTTTTATCAAGAAAAATCTTGGTCATGTTTTGGGAGAGGTGTAGTATTTTTGCTGGAATGAAACCACTTAGTTTATTGCTTGCATATCGCTTCCATTGGAATATAGCCTTAAATTATTTATGGTTCTCTGGAACACACAATATTGTATTTACAATACAAAAGAATCCCCCTACATACCTCGAATAATCTAATTAATCAATTAATCTTAAGTTACACCTAGAAACAACAGATTAGGATTTTTTACACGTTTCTCTATATAATTAAGATCCATAAAATGTTGATCAATAATTTATATGTGTTCAGGTTTCAAATGTAAATATTATTGAAACTTCACAATTTGTAAGGTTTTCATGGCGTTTTGATGGATTGAGATAGGTAAGGCATATTGGATATTAAAAAATGAATTTTCATTACATCTAACAGAACCTTTATGGAACTTGCGCAAATATCTATTAACGTAATGTACACGAAGTATTGAATATTTTGATTAAAAAGCTAGCAGGATTGGCAGTAATTAATGCATAATGCAAAATGCATTGTCTGAATTACTTTTTGTCTGCCATTTCACAAACCTGAATTGAAATACCTAACTAAGCATAGATATATATGAAAATTGCATAGCCCTATTTTACAACACAAGCCTCCCTCACCCCCCCCCCTTTATACACTTAACAACTTCTGAACATGATATTGATCATCGTATAGAATATAGTGAGTATTTAAGACATAAAATCATATTATGTGAGAAAACATGGTGGGAAACAATTGGGAAATGAATATAATTCATACAATACTGTAAAATAAATATGAATTGTACAATACTTTAAAATACAGTAAATATGAATTACAGTGCAATACTGTAAAATATAATAATTAGGAATCGAACGATGCTGTAAAGAAATTAAACATCGGACAGCCTTATATTAATTTAACTCCACCAAACTTTTGTGACTACCTCACTATATCTGCAGGTGATATGGATAGGAGAGGGTTGGGGGTCCAGAGACTTCTCTAAAGCATACAAATTAAAAATATCAATACTAAGGACTATATTAAATAAAGACATCAAATCCTATTATGTGAGAAAGCACAATATGAGTAATACCAAAGTCTTCAAATCATAAAAACAGTACCAAATTGAAATGCCAATTTGCCAACCATTGCCAACCATTTCTAAAATTCATATCTAACCTCTAAGCCTCAAGGTAGCATTATTCTTTAATTTTCAACCTTGTCAATAATTGTGATTTTGATTCTAATTTTTGTTAACTTAAGGATGTAAATTAGTTACTCTCTACAGTGTATAACTTATTTTTGAATACCATTCTCTGATCGCAGCCTTCACAGACCTTCAGATATGAATCATTAAAAATGAATATAAAGATAAATTCCAACATGTTTATATCATTTATTAATGTTTATCTGTGGCGATAACAGTTTATTACAAAGTTGAAAAAGATTGTAACACATGGCTGCCATGGCATACATCTTCAAGTATGCTTTCCAATTTAATAAATATAAAAGATTGATTGTCAAGTTAACATCTTATTTAGCACTTTCTCAAAGTAAATTGATACATGTGTCAGGTTTTTAATCACTTAAGGTGTACTTCTTGAGGATATAGATTACATATGTGTAGAATTAATTACTATTTTATCTGAGAAGTGTGACTACAACTTTCTATATTAAGCAGCAACAAGGAGCGCCACGTCGTATCCAATGATCCTGGGCCTATCGTAAAATGAAAGCTTTGAATGTGTTATAGCACTTAAACATGTTTATATTTTCCATTTGCAACTACAATTTGTGCATATACCTCATATCGATTGATAGTGGCAAAAGAAAATCCTCTAATTCTTCATCTTCATCTCCTTCGTCTCTGCCATTTTTATTAAACCGGAAGTTTTTTTCTTTAGTCCTTGTTGCTGCTTTAAGCTACAATAAGCATTTGAGATTTCGGTGATAAGATTTTATCATATGTATATTGGTAGATAGATGGCCATGTATATATTTTACTTGTACTCCCATGGCTTGCTCTATTACCTGAAACATTTATTGTACTAGATTTGAAGAGTGTTAATCTTAGAGCTATTTAACTTTTGATTCTCAATTTGGGTACTTTATAGGACAAGTTATCATTACCCTCTGAAAAGGACTACTTCAGAGGACAAGTTATCATTACCCTCTGAAAAGGACTACTTCAGAGGACAAGTTATCATTACCCTCTGAAAAGGACTACTTCAGAGGACAAGTTATCATTACCTTCTGAAAAGGACTACTTCGGAGGACAAGTTATCATTACCCTCTGAAAAGGACTACTTCAGAGGAAAAGTTATCATTACCCTCTGAAAAGGACTACTTCAGAGGACAAGTTATCATTACCTTCTGAAAAGAACTACTTCAGAGGACAAGTTATCATTACCCTCTGAAAAGGACTACTTCAGAGGAAAAGTTATCATTACCCTCTGAAAAGGACTACTTCAGAGGAAAAGTTATCATTACCCTCTGAAAAGGACTACTTCAGAGGAAAAGTTATCATTACCTTCTGAAAAGGACTACTTCAGAGGACAACTTATCATTACCCTCTGAAAAGGACTACTTCAGATGAAAAGTTATCATTACCCTCTGAAAAGGACTACTTCAGAGGAAAAGTTATCATTACCCTCTGAAAAGGACTACTTCAGAGGAAAAGTTATCATTACCCTCTGAAAAAGACTACTTCAGAGGAAAAGTTATCATTACCCTCTGAAAAGGACTACTTCAGGGGACAAGTTATCATTACCCTCTGAAAAGGGCTAATAGATATTTTTCAGGTTTGATGCTGATGTCCCCAAAAATAGCTGGTATGAGAAATTTGTGTGTTTGAATATGGGAGTGTCAGATACCTACTGTATGGAGGCATATATCTGCTATGAGACTCTCTTTTAAGGGAGCAAAATCAACCTATTGAAATGAGTATGATAGTGTATGAAAGCCAGTCTTTGACAATGATTGTCCATGCAACACACAGTTTTCAAGTAAAATGACCCGGCTGTTCATAATAAAAAAACAAGGCATTAACTTGCAAAATGTCACCACTTACTATTTGTTACAGTCACCAAACACCAACCATGGAACACCAATGTTGAATTCCAAACACTGTCCAAAAAGTTGGAGACCATAACAATTTAACTATAATTAAGATGCAGGGATTTTTGTGTAGGGCCCTAGATGTGATGTATTACTGAGGAATTTGGACATGACTGAACAACACAACTGTTTTATAATATTACATAAACCAAAGCCCTATAAAACAATAATTATTAAACAGTAATTATATCCAATCAGTGTCTAGATACCATTGGGAATTACTTTCAATATCATTAATAAGACTATTTTATACAAAAACATATGTCAGGTGTGCTTGTCATGAAGAATAACAATGTTGTCGTTAGCCATTAATGTAATAATGAAAATATTGAAGCTATGAAAAGCTATCATTATATTTCATCAAAGTGGAAGCAATTAATCGGAAGAATTGGATCCTGAATTATAGATAAGCAATTACCTAATCGGAAAGAGAGTGTAATCTATTATTCAGCATAATTTATCATTTAATATATTCCTGATTTATTTTCAGTGTTGTGTCATTTAATGATTTGTCCTTAAGGCCTAATTTAATTGGAAGGGGGATCATTTAATATACTAGTATATGGTACATAATTTACTATTTTTCAGTTTGTGATATTTAATACTTCATACTTTAGAAGTACTTTAATTAGTGGAGGCATCATTTATATATGCATGATCTTGTTAATCTTTCAGTCTTGTGATATTCAAAAATTTGTCCTTTAGGCCTACTTTATTTGGGGGGATGGTGGGGGGGTCGATCAAGATGGGGTAAAGGACTAACAGTACCCAAAACATCAGATTTCTGTCTAGGTGGAATACCTTTGGTACCTCTACAAAGTGTTCTACTTGGGAGGTGTTGTACTTATAGAGGTTCATTTGTCATTAAGTCAATTTTTTTTTGAATTTTTTCCAAAAAGATTTTTCAAATTTTTGATGAAAAATTTTTTTTCACATTTTTTAAATTGTTTTTTTCAAATTTTGTTTTTCAAAATATGTGTTATATGAGTTTGAAAATCTCAGAAACTTAAAAAAACACTTTATAACACCAAGAAAATGCGTATCTTAAGTATATTTGTGAATTTTGGAACTTTATAAGGTATATGACGAACATCAGTAGCTAGGTATGAAATACATCTGTTATGTACGGTCGGTTTTGGATACAGGGTTTATCCCTCGGGAAATATGTGTATATCCCTCGGTCCCTGCGGTCCCTCGGGATATACACATATTCCCCTTGGGATAAAACCTGTATCCAAAACCTCCCAGTACATAACCCTTATATATACTATATATGTCTCTGCACATTATATCTCTGCTTCATTGTTGGTTCAACAGCCTCTAGTTTTCAGGAATATTGGATAGGGGGTGTTTTTGGCCCACCCTGTATATAATGTATATGTCTCTGCACATTATATGTCTGCTTCATTGTTGGTTCAACAACCTTTATTGTATTGTCTCACAAGTGTTATATCAAAAGGACTCTGATGAATCAGGATGCCGTCACTTGCATGATTGCCATTTTCATAGAGGGTACAATAACTTGCATGATTGCATCTCATACAATATACATTATCAAGATTACAAACACACGATAACATAATAGAAATCTATGTTTTCATAGATCACATATTACATGTAAAACATTAGATGCTGTATTGTTAATTCATGTTATCATGCAAAGCACATATCATGTCATAATTGGTTGAATTTAGTTTCTGTAACATTCACAAAATTTGGCAGTATGGCAGAAAGAAGTATTTAGTACTGCTATGAGTTGTAGCATAAATGTTTCAGAATCAAGATTTCAAGATTCAAGATCGCAAATTGCTGCCTTGTCAGAGTTAATATGACAAATCATAATGGATGTTAGATTAAGGATTACACAAATGTCAAAACTGAAATGAAGTTAATACATCTAATTTAGAAAGTTCTATATGATAGGAGATTCACATATTTTACCACATTTAATATACCAAACTTCTGTTTTTATGACTATGTCTATATAAAAAATATTTCATGAATCAAGAAATTAAATATTTTTTCTGTTTTCTACCTACATGTACATTGCATTAATGGTTTTCTAGCATGACAAAAGCAAAAGAGGTTAGGGGTCTTAAGTCATCAGCATCAGTCTCTTAACTGTTTATTCTGTTTAGGGGGTAGTAATATACAGGGTGGGCCAAAAAATTTTGCAACCTTTTTAAAAGGCTAGAAAAGTATCAAAACATAAGGGTATTGCCATAAAAAAAATATTTGCAGAAACTTAAGGATAGGCATATTTTACCAGTCAAATGCTTTAAAGCTAAAACTGGCTTCAATTTTTTTTTGTCAGATCTTTGAATATCAATGGTCAATTGTTCATGTGTCTGAGATTTACCATTTTTCCTAGAAAATGTGACTTTCTATGATTTTATGTGATCAACAATAACACATTCATAATGTTCACTAAATCTGCTACAATCCTGGATAACTGTTTAAACAATGTCTACCTCAATGTCTAGTTTATATCAGTATCTAGTCACTATGGTATTATGTTATATTGTATTTATTAATTATCTATTAAACAAATGTTCTATGCATCCCCCTTTCACCTTCCCTATCGCTCCCAGCCATCGAGCAAAAGTCACTTTGGAATATTTGGAAGAACAATAGACCATTGATATTCAAAGATCTGATAAAAAAATTGAAGTCCAGTTTAGCTTTAGTATTTAAATGGTAAAATATGCCTATCCTTAAGTTTCTGTAAATAATCTTTTATGGCAATACCCTTATGTTTTGATACTTTTCTAGCCTTTTAAAAAAGTTGCAAAATTTTATGGCCCACCCTGTACTAAGCTCTGTGTGATACAGTAATTGCTGGTTTGAGATTAGTCATACGCACTAACAAATTACGATATTTCAAATGATTTTTCTCCATAACAGGAAATCTCATTACATGTATTTGGCCTAGAGTTTGATATTTGGTTTTAATATTTGTGTCCAAAATGACTTCAACTTATTATGCACCTTGTTTAGATACTACTGTCCAGTATTTTTTGATGAATCCTACTTAAAAATTTCAGAACTTGTGTGCAATACAACAGAAACGCTATATTGAATGATAAATGAAAAGGAAAATTACACAAGGTATTTTTTCATGGTACCTCTACTAGTTGACACAGGTCAGTTACAGGTACCTCTGTATTTTTAAAATACTTGAAAAAGTACATGTACAGTAGTTTAGAAAATGGTTTAGAAAACGCTAGATGGGAGTAGTTACCAGTTTCACCACCAGGGGGCTAATTTGGGTCAATTAACATGGCAAATTTACAAGAAAATAAATTCCCTTTAACTTGAATATTCATCATAATAATTTAAGTGGATACATTTTCACATAATCCTATGTGTCTGATAATTATACAAATGAAAATATGTCCAGTAAAAGAAAATATCTGTCCAACACAAGAAGATCTATTTCACTTTTTGTGATTTCATAACATGTGGTCTATCGGGAATCTCCTGACCAAGAAGTCACGTTTCCAAAGAAAATAAAATTTCCAAAGTTGATAAGTACTTTCTGAAACATCATTTTGAGGTACAATTTTACATGTAGACTTCAAATATGATATCACTTTGACTAAATTTTGAATGTAAATCAAGATTATTTCGACTTGTATCTAGTCTATTGTGGCAAGTTCGATATCTGTATTATAAAGTTGCATTGAGTCAATTGCATATTGCAGGTACCCTTCCAGGAAATGCATTTGGCTTTACCAAAAGTGGACTTATCATTACGATCAACGCCCTCTATCCTGAAAAAGTAGATGTTAATAACACAATACGTGAGTACAAACACATTTTATAAAATCCCTCTATTATGTTGTTCATTCTTCACTGACATATACGTTTACATAATTATACGTTCATATTTATACATTATATGAACATATGCTGTTCCAATTTACTCCAAAGGAGGTTTGAGTCCAAAGGCTTGAGTACTTCCCTTTATGATTGAATACATGGTGCATAAAGCACAGTCGATTCTCTTGGGGAACATTATTCAAACTTGGTTATGAAACTCCATTTTGCTAGGATAATGTCATGAAACATTCTTCTACCTGTATATTCTTTTGTTAACAAATAACATCACAGAATGGCTCTGTTATACATTGTCCTGGATAATCATATCTATTTTCAGCTCGTTATGTGTTGACAAGAGCCTTGTTATCTGCTCCGAGCATGGATAAAATGGACGATATAGTAAAGTGCCAGGGCCATGGATCAGCGTATGGTTTCAGGTATATGCAGATATGTCATGTTTTGTATCAGACTCTCATCCTCAACATCTGACTGGTGCCAACTGATAACAGGGGTTTCATAAGCAGCAGGCAACAGACGATTTTCACTGGTTGTTTTCACAAAATTGCCTGTTGATTTTAGGGGCTTTTCAACTTTTCGATTTTAAATTTATGATTTCCATTAATTTTGCCTGTTGTTTTCATTTAGTGAAAATTCTAGTGAAAACCCCTGCATAAGTTTTGATTTTCACATTAACAATAGAAGAACCATGAGTATTGACAAGGAATTTTGCATCAGTCAGCCTGTGATGTTCATCCTAATGACTGTATTATTAATGGTTCGCTAGTCGTGATAACAAAACATAATAATACACATAATATCAACCCATTACACATAAATGTCAAAATCTCATCAAGTTTTGTTAATAATATCCAGGTATATGAATTATATGATAGAATTCATACATGTACATTTACATTTTTCCTTTAGAAATGTAAGTCACATTTAATAGGGCTTACAGACAACTCATCCCCAACTCATAATTCAGTGTTATTTGGTAAATGATGAGTTATCTGGGGGATGAATTGTCAAGGGCATGAGTTGTCCAGGGATGAGTTGTCCGGGATGAGTGGTTGATGGGATTAGTTGTCTTGGGGTTGACTTGTCCAGGGATGAGTTATCTAGGGGATGAGTTGTCCGGTTACCATTTAAAAGTACAGGGTGTCCATTACATTACAAAGTTTTTGTAAAGTGTAGAGACATTATTGATACCCTGTATATACTGTATAAGTTGTACATAATCCTTATGGTAAATTTGCTGAATAGTCTAATTTTATCATTTTCCTAATTTTAATTTTCCGAAAAACATTCAACTTTCAATTGGATAACATTATGAAGGTAATATTTTGACTTTCAATATTCTGAACCTGGCAAAATTGTTCAATTAGTTAGGCAAAACTACCACTTTTACAGTAATTACACCTTATACTATGGTGTGCAGTAATTACACCTTATACTATGGTGTGCATTGTAGTGTGAACACAGCTGATATGAATTGTACCAATCCCTGCATAGATAATATAGAAGTGGCACCTGGATATAGCACTCCATGCTCTACAGTCAACCACACCATCATAACTGACTCAGATTACCATGTCAACATGTAAGTAACCATGACAACACAACTGTCAATCAATCAATTGTTGTAACTATGCATAATGGATATACTGAAGTCATACACACTACTATACCTTGCATTAGGTGTTCATGAGCAACCCATTTGGTTTATTAGTAATGATTATGTATTTGTTTTTATTTGTCTGTTCCTTATGAATGGTTTATCGGTTGAAAATTAGATGCTAGTAAGGCACTTTCAAAAATATATTAAACAATTCAATTAGACAAACAAAGTATCTTATGCATTTCTAGGTGTTAGGTATAGTAGTGTGGTCATAGTTGCAGAACAATATTTGGAATTCTGAACTCCAAAAATAATCATGGCAACATTTAAGTTAAGCTGTTGTGTCATCGACCCAGTTTGTATCGGGAAATTCACTAACCAAGCTCTTCTGAAAATCTCCAGCGACTGGGGTTTGACTCTCAAAGTTATCTTTACAATTTCTTCCCCTCCCCACCCAGAGGAATGGTATTTTTTATATGGAAATATCAAGTTCTGAAATTAACGATTTTTCTACAATGGGCTTGGTGCCTCCACCCTTGAGCATGAATGTTCACATCTGCAACAAACAAATATTAATTTGATGCTGATTGAGAATGTGGGAAAGGCACGATCAAAGACTATTAATTGTTTTTCATGTGTAATTTGGGATGAGGTGTTTAATGTTAGATAATCAGATATAACCTTTAAATACATATGCTACCATCATTGATCTATAATCGTATCTTAAATGTATATGACGTGGAAAAGGCAGAGTTAATTAGTGAAATGATTCCCTTTTAATCTTAATACATATGCACTCATGGTCTTTTTTTCAAACACTCTTATCAAAGATAGTTTTTAAAACAATCTTGTAAACCATGGAAATGATGATGATGATGTCACAATAAAAAAACTACAACTCAGGAATACTGTACTTCTACTTAGTTTGGCATTACTTATTTTGGCGGATTTGCTGATTTGAACATTTGATGGCTACTTAATTTGGCTGACTTGGAATATTACATAGCACTAATGGTACTAATTTACATGGCACTAAAATTACTGGGGAATTCGGCGGCTACTTTATTTGGTGGACTTTAAGAATTTGGCCAATCCGCCAAATTAAGTAGAAGTACAGTGCTTAAATTACGGAATGTTTTGTTAAAATAAACCTTGATTATTCTACCACTTAAACTCAGCTTTCCTTAACCTCTTGAATCCCAGGCTCTGCAATCGGTTGAAACCAGAGAATTTTTCATTTTTGCCATTTTTAGTGAAAAAAATTGTGACAGATTATCTCGTCATTCTGGGTTTCAAGGTCATTTCTGAGGTGACGAGAAATCTTGTCACTTCAGGTAGTCAAGAGGTTAAGGTAACTTATAACTTAATCAAAAAATCCAAGATGGCCGAAACCAGGAAGCACATGGCATTTGAGTATAATCTGACCATCAAAATTAACTGTCTTTTGGTTGGATTTTCTCTCAATTTTTTAGTTCCACTTATCATTTATATAACCAGGCTCACTGTGGTAATGCAAATAGAAACAGTAAACATTTTGGAATGGGAATTTGAGTCCTCTGAAAATGTGACAGAAAAATTGACAAAAAGAGTAGCACGGCAAAGGTCCCTGAACATTTTTTTTCTAATTTCTCTGAAACATCCCTTTAATATAGCCCAAAATGAAAGGAGCTTTAGAATTTTGAAATCTCTCATACAAATTAAAAAAAAATAGAAAAAAAAAATTTGAGAAGTGTACTTTTTTCCTTATCTTGATCCCAATTTTTTTATCGGGTAATTTTTCAAATTTCCGTTGCTCCTTCGTTTTTGATATATGTTTGAAGTATATTTTCTGAAATGTTCAGATATTTTGAATCAGCGGTTTTTCACGATTACTCCTAGAAAAAAATCTTCTCAAATTCTTTAAACGGCACTTTTTTTCTCAAACTAAATTTGATGTCTTTGTAATGATCACAGTGCACAAGCATATGTGAAATAATAAAAACGACTTCTCAGGAAGAGTTTGAAAATTTCAAGATTGTGAAATTTTCAATTTTTTCTGAAAATCGATTAAGTTAACAGTCACCTTAATCCTACCTGAAACCACACCACAAATAATTTTAGATTTGTTTATAAATTCAATCATAGCTCTGCGTGATCAAACAGGAACATGAGCAAATATAAGTAGCACATTTAGACTAATTTAAAAATCTCTATTTAAATCAGTAGACTGAATGATCAGCAGGTTTTGGTGGTTAAAAGCCAATAGTCATGCATAAATTAGTTATATGGTGCTTGGTTTCAGATATGGGTTATCCCTAGAAATATATCTTTGCTTTACAACCCTGTATCCCATAAGTGCATAACACATCCCTCATACATCTTTCAGATACAGAAGAATCCAAATCAAGCAAGACCCAGAGTCTATTTTAAGCTCACAACATAGAGCCAAAGCTCTGGGAGTTCCTGACTGGCATGATGCTAATGATATAAGGGTCATGTTAGGCAATACTGTAGATCCCAGATTCCCTATCTACCGTAATGCTACACCCCCTGACACTGGTAGCACAGTGGCTACAGGTATGTTTGACAACCCTCCTAAAGTTTAGTAAATCTGGGAGTACCTTCTGGGTCATGTGTAAAGGCCTGATATGTTTTGCAATTTTTGTTGATAATACTCTGCGTTAGGCGTGTGGCTTTTGGCATCTGTAACAAATGGCAGGTGGTAACACTTTGCATGTTAATGCCTTGTAATAAATTTGTTGATATTTCGTACCTGTAGTATTTGAGGAACATGATTAAGATTCAGACATGAGACGTCATAAACATGCTATTCAATTGAGACTGCTGGAAACCAACTTGTAAAGGGGTTTGTATTGTGTACTCCCTGTTGCTAAGGAGATGACAAGTGGCGCTATGCAGGTGCAGTAGTCACAAGATGTACCACACTCCCAACTGAAAAATAATAACATATATTAGATATTTATCTGTTGAGGCCTTTTACTACCAATATTCATAGAAGTTTAAACACATTTTAGTTTTTTTGGCAGTTGCATAAAAAATCAAGATAAATTTTAAATATTATGAAAGTCAGTGCATATGATTCTGCTTACTTTTCAGGGCTGTTTGATATTGCTGAATGTTCCCTTCATATATATGATAGCAACCCAGCCCACTCTGACCCACTGATTACAATGGACCTGCCTTACTCTAACTACTGTAGAGCTAGGAAACATCTCACTACAAAGATGGGGTATAAGAAAACAAAGCTAGTAGATCACAATACAAAGATGCAGCGTCACAATATAAAAATGCAGCATCGCAATATGAATCAAATAATTAGAACATAGGACCTAAATACTGAGTAACATTTGTTTAAAAAGAAACAATACTAAATCAACAAGGATCTAAATAGGACTTTATTTTCCTAATCAACCTAAATATATGATAAATCTCCATTTTATTCATTTCTCACATACATGCACAGAAGCAATCCCTTGCATCCGAAAATTTTGGTTATGGAAGCTTAATTTCCTGATAGGTTTATTTGTTTTTCTACCAGATTTTAAAAGTGGAAGATGTCAGTACCTGACCAAATGTGATCACTGTTGAGCCAAAAATCATATAAAGCCAAGTGCCGCCATCTTGTGGCAAAAATGAATCTGTTGTTGAAACCCCCAGTTCATATTTCTCCATGGTGAATACTGAATATGGTTTGAAGTGCAATATTTTTTACACATTGAGCAGAGGGGTTTAAGACAACCTTGGTCTAAGGGTATTTCAATGCTTTCCTCAGCGATGCCCGATCTTGAAGGATGTTTTAAAGAGGGAAACTACATTGTGCAATTTGGGACGAATTAAGAGCCTTTAAGTATTTATAACATCGCACATGAACAAGAGCATTACATACAATGCATGTATATGTATTGGTATCCTGATGAGTAGACATACAAAAATCTAGAACTTCCAATTCAATGATTAACCTTGATTATCGTGTGCTAGATGCCCTAAACCCTGTTTATTAAAGGATGGGAGAAGAAATCTGTAAAATGGGTGTACAATTGCACATTCGCCAATGCACAATTAAATAGACCTTTCCAGTAAATACTGCCACCTTTTGATACATTAAAAAACCCTCTGATAAATTGGTTAGTTTGATGATGTCATCGGTTGTTCTTTTTAAAAATTAACAATAAGTTAATCCTATTTTTGCCATCATGGAATACCATGGCCCTCTCTTCTTGCATCATAGATAAACTAAAAACAGACAGGCTTTTAGATATGTATCGGAAATTGTATTTTTGCTTGGATAGATTGTTACCAACAACCAATCGGCAATATCATCATCAATCTAACCAATATATCCTAGTTTCTTTCATCAACAAAAAGGTGGCAGCATTTATTGGAAAGGTATATTGATAGTCATATCATATCATATCTATGCTCAGCATGGACTAATAAGTTTTAAGTGCACTTTTTTCATCGATTCATTATTTTTACAATCATGAATCAGAGTATTGTTAGAGATGTATAATTTGTTTAATTATATGTTCTATTAATATTATTTACTAATATGTGTTGTATAGAAGAACATATGTTGTACCTGTATTTCAAAAAGGATTGGACAGATAGCTTTGTCTATTTAGTCTTCTCCTATTTTATTATGTCACCACCAAAAGTGGTGACATATTGTTATGGTCTCCGTTTTTTTGTTATGTCACCACCAAAAGTGGTGACATATTGTTATGGTCTCCATTTTTATGTCACCACCAAAAGTGGTGACATATTGTTATGGTCTCCGTTTTTTTGCGACGGCGGTTGGCGTCCGGCGGTTGGTGGTTGGTGTCCGGCGGTTGGTGTCCGGCGGTTGGCGTCCGGCGTCTGTAACAATTTCTTACAACTTCCTATAACTTAACAAATACAGTTTAGACTAACTTCAATTTTTTTCTAAATCATCTACATGTTCTCAGAAGTTCAAATCTGACTTTAGATTTGACATTTGACCTTCAATGATCTTCTCAAGGTCAAAAAGGTCTTTTTTCAACTTGCTTCACATTGACTAAATTTTTTTCAAAATCATCTACATGTTCTCAGAAATTCAAATCTGACTTTAGAATTGACATTTGACCTTCAAATCTGACTTTAGATTTGTCATTTGACCTTCAATGACCTTCTCAAGGTCAAAAAAGGTCAAAAAGATCTGTTTTCAACTTGCTTCAAATTGACTAATTTTTTTTTCAAAATCATCTACGTGTTCTCAGAAATTCAAATTTGACTTAAGATTTGACTTGAGATTTGACATTTGACCTTCAATGACCTTCTCAAGGTCAAAAAAGGTCAAAAAGGTCTGTTTTCAACTTGCTTCAAATTGACTAAAAAAAATTTTCAAAATCATCTACGTGTTCTCAGAATCTTAAATCTGACTTTAGATTTGACTTAAGATTTGACATTTGACCTTCAATGACCTTCTCAAAGTCAAAAAAGGTCAAAAAGGTATTTTTTCAACTTGCTTCAAATTGACTAAATTTTTTTTTCAAAATCATCTACATGTTCTCAGAATTTCAAATCTGACTTTAGATTTGACATTTGACCTTCAATGACCTTCTCAAGGTCAAAAAAGGTCAAAAAGGTCTGTTTTCAACTTGCTTCAAATTGACTAAATTTTTTTTTCAAAATCATCTACGTGTTCTCAGAAATTCAAATCTGACTTAAGATTTGACATTTGACCTTCAATGACCTTCTCAAGGTCAAAAAAGGTCAACAAGGTCTGTTTTCAACTTGCTTCAAATTGACTAAAAAAAATTTTCAAAATCATCTACGTGTTCTCAGAAATTCAAATCTGACTTTAGATTTGACTTAAGATTTGACATTTGACCTTCAATGACCTTCTCAAAGTCAAAAAAGGTCAAAAAGGTCTTTTTTCAACTTGCTTCAAATTGACTAAATTTTTTTTTCAAAATCATCTACATGTTCTCAGAAATTCAAATCTGACTTTAGATTTGACATTTGACCTTCTCAAGGTCAAAAAAGGTCAAAAAGGTCTTTTTCAACTTGCTTCAAATTGACTAATTTTTTTTTTCAAAATCATCTACATGTTCTCAGAAATTCAAATCTGACTTTAGATTTGACATTTGACCTTTAATGACCTTCTCAAGGTCAAAAAGGTCTGTTTTCAACTTGCTTCAAATTGACTAAAAAAAAATTTCAAAATCATCTACTTGTTCTCAGAAATTCAAATCTGACTTTAGATTTGACTTAAGATTTGACATTTGACCTTCAATGACCTTCTCAAAGTCAAAAAAGGTCAAAAAGGTATTTTTTCAACTTGCTTCAAATTGACTAAATTTTTTTTTCAAAATCATCTACGTGTTCTCAGAAATTCAAATCTGACTTTAGATTTGACATTTGACCTTCAATGACCTTCTCAAGGTCAAAAAAGGTCAAAAAGGTCTGTTTTCACATTGCTTCAAATTGACTAATTTTTTTTTTCAAAATCATCTACATGTTCTCAGAAATTCAAATCTGACTTTAGATTTGACATTTGACCTTTAATGACCTTCTCAAGGTAAAAAAAGGTCAAAAAGGTCTGTTTTCAACTTGCTTCAAATTGACCAAATTTTTTTTTCAAAATCATCTACATCTTTTCAGAAGTTCAAATTTGACTTTACAAGTTCTCAAAGTCAAAAAAGGTCAAAAAGGTCTGTTTTCAACTTGCTTCAAATTGACTAAATTTTTTTTTCAAAATCATCTACATCTTTTCAGAAGTTCAAATTTGACTTTACAAGTTCTCAATGACCTTCTCAAAGTCATAAAAAGGTCAAAAAGGTCTTTTTTCAACTTGCTTCAAATTGACTAAATTTTTTTTTCAAAATCATCTACGTGTTCTCAGAAATTCAAATCTGACTTTAGATTTGACTTAAGATTTGACATTTGACCTTCAATGACCTTCTCAAGGTCAAAAAAGGTCAAAAAGGTCTGTTTTCAACTTGCTTCAAATTGACTAAAAAAAAATTTCAAAATCATCTACTTGTTCTCAGAAATTCAAATCTGACTTTAGATTTGACTTAAGATTTGACATTTGACCTTCAATGACCTTCTCAAGGTCAAAAAAGGTCAAAAAGGTCTGTTTTCAACTTGCTTCAAATTGACTAATTTTTTTTTTCAAAATCATCTACATGTTCTCAGAAATTCAAATCTGACTTTAGATTTGACATTTGACCTTTAATGACCTTCTCAAGGTCAAAAAAGGGCAAAAAGGTCTGTTTTCAACTTGCTTCAAATTGACCAAATTTTTTTTTCAAAATCATCTACATCTTTTCAGAAGTTCAAATTTGACTTTACAAGTTCTCAGAAATTCAAATCTGACTTAAGTTTGAACTCATAATATTGTGAGCAACTAGGTGGTGACATTTTGTCATGTTAATGCCTTGTTAAAGCATATGACGCACACTATACCTTTATAAAATGTATGTAGCACACATTAAATGTTTGTAATTTTTGCTTTTTTAAAATGTACTAGTATGTAGCACACATTGAATGTTTGTAATTTCTGCTTTTATAAAATGTATGTACCAAACATTAAATGTTTGCAATTGTTATTTTATAAAATCATGGGGTTTCTGTTGAAAACCCATGATAAAATGTATGTAGCACACATTAAATGTTTGTTATTTTGCTTTGATGAAATGTTTATTCAAATAGAGAAACTTCCCATGTTAAAGAGGTGAACACATTGTGTGATTTCATTGGGTGTCATTAAACCTTTTTCATCATCTTGAATACACATTGTCTGAATTTAAAGAATTTAATTTACAGTGCATTATTTGATTGTTGATCTTGCAGTGCCAGTTGATACCATTGAGATTCCCCAAGCATGTTAAAATGACATTTATAAAAAAGCAGTTGAAGATGCAAAATGACACCATCCGCCATTTGTTACAGATGCCGAATGCCAACCGCCGCACAATGTCCACAAAAAAGTTGGAGAATGTTACCTCTGATGGGGACATAAAAACCATATCTTTTCTTCAAAAATCTTGCTCAAGGTTTATAATGCTCAAATAAAGTACAATAAAGTAAAATTTAAAAAAATAATATTTCTGTCTTTTATCTGTTTACTAGTATATAGTAGTATTGTAAAAGGTAGTGCATTTTGAAAGCTTCTTGCTTTAGTTTTGGTCAATAAGACCAGAAGCAAGCACATATATTTGTAGTTCCCACAAGAGAAAACCTATTAAAATGATGAGATATAACATAATAAAATTTTCAATCTCCAGGGTGCCAAATGGCAAAGCATAAACTAGGAGAGGTACACATACATATTATATACCATTGGAAAGAACATTTAATTGTTGTTTGAGTGTGAAAAGATGAAGATGCATGATAGAAAATAAGACATATTTTGAATTATATGTAACTTTTGAAAGTGAGTATGACCATCTTAGGCAGTCTAAAATGGCTGCCAGTCTTGCTGGAAATGATGTTTAAAGGGCATGAAAAAGAGCAGTGTCTTTCTCATGAGATCTCAATACTTTTTTTGAGGTTCTTGTGCAGGGCATATTTGAAATATCTGTTCTCTGCAGCTTCAGTTTTATCGATTAATATGGGCCCCTTGTGCCCTGCAGCGTTCAAGTTGGAGTTGTTGCTATCAATACCAAAAGGTTTCACATGCATTTGAAATGTACTAGTCTATACCAGATTTCTTTAAAATCAATAAAAAGAGCACGATACTAGCACATTTCAAATGCATGTGAAACTGATTTAGGAATCTCTGACCTTGGTCATGTAGGATTTCTTTTATCCAAAATTGAATGTTCTTTCCAATGACATACAGAATGTATAGGTACTTATGCTAGTTTATGCTGTAGAGGGGAGGGGGCACAGCGCCCTTTGACACCCTGTATATTTACTGTTCAATTTAAGTAACTGTGTAACATGTCATTTTATTATTAAGATGCCACCTTTTTGTTGATATACTGACTTTTTGAGCCATACTATTCAAAAAACTCATTTTACCTTCACCATGTTCACCAGAATATTCAAAGGATAACATTTTCTAAAAATCCACTCTGTTGATAGGCCCTATTGATGAATGGCTTATCGTGTGTTACTACTAATTTTTTTTAATAAATCGTCGCAGTCAAAATGTCATGACTTCAGGAGAATCAAAGAATAACAGAGATTGTATGTTTTTTGAGAGACGAAACCCCATGACATTTCCAAATATAGATTTATGTTTATTTAAAAAAAAAAAAACTTTTCCAGGACATTTTTGCCATTTCAAAACGCCTTGATATGTTAGGCACTTTTGGAAGGTATCATGAAAGTGAACTGAACTAGGAGCTTAGTAGAGCATTGCATTAATTGTTTTTATGGTAGTGTAAACAAGACACAGACGTGAACAATATCGTACCTAAAACACAGCATTGTGGTCTTGTTGACCAAGAAAGCAAGATGGCCGCAGAAAAGTAAATCAGCTCTAGAACTTATCACTGTGTAACATATGTAAAAATTTGAACGGTTTGGCTGGAAACCTGTAGACAAGTCTTGAAAGTGAAGATTTTAGGACGGAAAATCAAAAATGGCCACCTTAAAATTTACCCAGAATGCCCAAAAACTATTCAGTTCTTGACGGATGAATCCCTCAAAAGGTTTGGCTGGAAACCTGTAGACAAGTCTTGAAAGTAAAGATTTTAGGACGGAAAATCCAAAATGGCCACCTTAAAATTTACCCAGAATGCCCAAAAACTAATCAGTTCTTGACGTTGATATGTAGAAACATCCCTGAAAATTTCAGATGAATCCCTCAAATGGTTTGGCTGGAAACCTGTAGACAAGTCTTGAAAGTGAAGATTTTAAGACGGAAAATCCAAAATGGCCGGCCACCTTAAGATTTACCCAGAATGCCCAAAAACTAATCAGTTCTTGACGTTGATATGTAGAAACATCCCTGAAAATTTCAGATGAATCCCTCAAATGGTTTGGCTGAAAACCTGTAGACAAGTCTTGAAAGTGAAGATTTTAGGACGGAAAATCCAAAATGGCCACCTTAAAATTTACCCAGAATGCCCAAAAACTAATCAGTTCTTGACGTTGATATGTAGAAACATCCCTGAAAATTTCAGATGAATCCCTCAAATGGTTTGGCTGGAAACCTGTAGACAAATCTTGAAAGTGAAGATTTTAGGACGGAAAATCCAAAATGGCCACCTTAAGATTTACCCAGAATGCCCAAAAACTAATCAGTTCTTGACGTTGATATGTAGAAACTTCCCTGAAAATTTCAGATGAATCCCTCAAATGGTTTGGCTGGAAACTTGTAGACAAGTCTTGAAAGTGAAGATTTTAGGACGGAAAATCCAAAATGGCCACCTTGAGATTTACCCAGAATGCCCAAAAACTAATCAGTTCTTGACGTTGATATGTAGAAACATCCCTGAAAATTTCAGATGAATCCCTCAAATGGTTTGGCTGGAAACCTGTAGACAAGTCTGAAAAGTGAGACGCCGCCCGCCCGCCGCCCGTCAAGCTGACTACAATATCGTACCTTTTGTTAGGTACGATAAAAACCCTTTAAGTCACATTCACATGGTGAATCTTTTACTTAACGAAAACAATCATCAGGGTTGAAATTAAATTTTATTTTCGATTTTAAATTGTAAATTCAGTAACAAGTTATTCCACTTCTGTTTGTCTTGTGTATGTCTCTACACAATGTTCTTTTACACCACTATTAAAACCTATAATTTATTCCTATGTACAGTCTATAGTCTAGTCATCATAAATCTGATCGTACTCCAAAACCGGGTCCTTTTGGCTCTTCTGTCAAACATGTCAAACCCCCCTTGGGCTCACAGGCAAATCGGTTGTCTTGACCGCTCCTGGAATATAACATGTATTATATAATTTCAAAAGATTAAACAGTCTAATCTACATCCGTAATGTACAGCATGGGATATACAATGTAAATAGTTGTTCCAATAACTTCAGAGACAAGTTCCCATTTGTGAAGTGTTTTAAAATACTGTACTCCTGGTAATTTTCGTGTGCTACTACATTGCACATTTTTCTTGGGTTTTGGAAAATTCTTATACTTCAAATTCATGAAATACAATAGTTGCGGAATTCCCGGTAATTTATTTCACTAAATATTGACAATATTTTCGTCCAGTGCTGGATGATAAAGAGTAGGAAGGTACTGTTTTCTTGTATTTTTTCAGGTTTTAAGATCTTTTGATCGAAGAAATTAGAAAAGAGCTGAAAATATTTTGAGAAGTCACCAATCCACAAAAATTAATAACAGCGAAATTTCAAAATTGGAAAAACGTGAAATATGATAGCGTCAAATATAAGTTGGAGGACAGTACTGAACTTCAATAACAGTATGCTGTAACAGTGCAAGAGCCAAGGCATTGGATTATTGGTCCTGCATCCTCCGATCAAAGGGCTTCAAAATCCAGAATATATTTCTTTTTACACTCTGCGATAAGCAGTTAGCATTTCCCCGATTAAGAACTCGCAATTTGATTCCCTGTCGCAACACTGCGACAGAAATCATGTTTAAGTCATTGCGCATACTTAGATTGCGGTAATTAGATCACATAATTCAGTTTAATCGGATGCTTCCAAATTGGTTATAGCAGGGGGAAAAAGGAGGTACGGATTCTGGATACCTGCTTAGGAGGATGTTGGTCGTGATAATCAAAACATTAATTTGACTAATTTCAATAAAGTCCTACCTTGGTCCAGGTTTGGGCAATTTGTCAGTCTTTATGATTTCATCTAAAATGTCATCCATGTCCTTTGGTGTTAGATCCTCCTGAAAGATATAAATATAGAATGAAAATAAATCCCAGATGTAATACTTTTTAAGTTGATGACTATGTAGTTTTAGAATTGTTTGAAACTGAATATCATCTCATACGTTCATCATATAATATAAATCACAATAGAATATTCTTGATTCATTTCAATATAATCTCAATACATTTGGAAAATGCTGGTGAAATATTTAAAAAGACACAAAGTGATCAATATCGCACTTGAAATTGTATTTTAACCAGCATACCAAAAACCCTAATCGGATTTTGGCACTAGTCTGCTCTTGCATCTGTCAACAAGGAATTATCATGGAAAATGTCACCACCTGCCATTTGTTACAGACACCCAAGGCCAACTGCTGGATGCCAAATGCTGTCACATGAAAGTTGGAGACCATAACAGTATGCCACCACTTGTAATGGTGACATAAAAACTTCAAATTAAACCACAGATACAAATACATGTACATGATGTACAGTAAACTTACATAGTAGTTGTCGTTGATTTGTACCATGGGGGCATTGACACATGCTCCAAGACATTCCACTTCAATGAAGGTCCACATGTTATCTTTTGATGTTTCACCTAACTTGATATCTGCAATGCAACAGTAGTTCAGTTTCAATTTCAAATAAATATTGACTATGCATTGCTATGATTGGTGGCATTACAGAAAATTATGTGAATGTCCTTCTTTGCATCATCAGCAGGCATCTCAAATCCTCGCATTTCACCTCTTAACTTGAATGTATAATCTGAATGGAGCAGTAATGGTTTGAACTTATCCATTACTCAGTATCTTGGTATCTAATTTGGCATACATGAAACGAGAACTAGACTTCAATAAATAAAGTACAAAAGTAACCAAAAATTATTAATAACTGACATTCAATTTTTCAGTTGACAGTGGCTTCAATAGATGTCCAAATCGAACTGACGCAGCTTAACACAGTCCCTCAGGTAGATATGCATATCTCCCTCTGGATAAACCCCAGTACATAACCCTTATGTACTTACTTAGTTTCTTTTTGATGGCATCTACAATAACATCACTGCCAACTCCACCGAGCATACAGGGGGTTGTTGTACAGATCTGGATGAAGTATTTGCCTACAGGTTCCCTGTAACAAGAACAATCTTGTTATCAATGGCATGAAAGAAACAAGCCATTACACAATCACCACCTACATGTACCTACCATTTGTTACAGATGCTGAACACCAACCACCAAATACCATCAACAAAACTGCCACCATGTACTATGTTTTTCAACTTTGGCAGTCACTACATGTGTCTTTTGTATGTACTAAAATTGAATAAAGAATAAAAAAAAATTAACAAAACAACCACTTCAGGTGGTAACATAAAAACATAATGCATTACTACAGGAGTGAGTAGCTCCCATAATTCTTTCATATTCTATCGTATTCGGGATTCCCCATTACATCATCTCTTGCATCATCTCCAATCAAATTGCAGGATTCGATCACGTGAACAATCATGAGCACGTGCTCTCTCAGTGCTGCACATGCGCACAGTTAAATTTGAAATCGTGGGAATGGCGTTAACAGCAGTTCAACATCATCATTTCAAACCTACGGTAATACTATTGAAGTTACTCGATCCATATTTGTAGAGAATACTCCTAAAACTACAGTGAATATTTGGACATTCATTTCAACGGCAAATTGAGGCCTGTTTATAAAATTTGTTTTCGAACGTGCTAATATGATAGGTCATCTTTGGGAAATTTTGACGAAAATGTTAAGATTTTAGATCACTATAAGTTCTACAAACATGTCTTTTGTGCATACAATAGATTTAAGGAAATAGAGAAAAATAAACATCCTGGTACAGAAGTTTTATGGCTAAACAAACGGTTTTTATGTAGGAAAGAAACTTTGTACATGAAAAATTGGATAAATGCAGGTTTTATTTATTTCAAGGACTTTTTTGATGAGAGAAATAATCTCATTGATGAGAAAACTGTTTTGTTACGACTAAAGAATAAGCAAAATTGGATGACCGAATATTTAAAAATTAGACTTGTTTTGCACAATATTAAATATGAGAGTAAACAAAGTATGAAATATGCTAATGTCACGGAGTAAGGTTCATATACTTAACAAGATAGCAGAATTGTACTTAAATTACATATTTCTAATTGTCTTTATTGTAAAAATATAAAACCATGTGTAGAATATGACATTTGGCAGAGTAATAATCACAATTAAACATATATTATGAATCCTATAGATAAGACTTATCTAGATCAATAGCTCACAATGGTACACACCAGGAAACCTTAAGACGGACAGTTCCTTTAAGTCTGATGCCCACGATTTAATCCGTTTGTGGAAATAAATGTCATACAACTTCAAAAGATCGCATCTTTGTATATCTAGTAATGTTTCTCCATTATCCCAATACACATGAAACCTGCAGCACCTCGCAAGTAACATAATTTGCACTTCCCAAGGATCCATACGACTTTACACAAGTATTGTAGTATAACCCTTGTTATCTACACATACCCAACACAGTATTCCCACGAGTCCGTCCGTGGAAAAACTAAACACAGTGCGTAAGTTCCAAGGCCAAGCACATCACAAAATAGGATTTCTAACATCACTGTTCGCATACACAAGTCACTGATGGAACTTCGTAGTATTCGACATAAATTCGTCGTGACATCAAAAGGTAAATCCAAGAAGTGGCCATAGTAGAATTAATTCACGGTAGAAGTCTGGGAAAATGCTAGTCGAAACTGTTCAAAATACATTTCACTACATAATATCTCCAACACGTACTGCCTCGATAATTCCATGTCATTTCACTTTTCTTGACTCTCCACACTTCATTCTCTAATGTCCTTATATCTTGCCTCATAAAACTCTCTTACTTCCTCAACCAGTTCATGAGTTCACTCTAGTGTTAGTGGGTCACTCTACTCAGTATTAAAAAGTTGAAATAGAAATAACTTGACTAAAAATAGTAGGATTCAATGAACTGTAAAATATACATAGTACAAAGAAATGAGGTGTATGTCTACAATATTGAATAAAGGACCAGGTGTCCTTGGCAATATAAAACAAGATTGCACACAAATGACCATGAACTGTGACAATACCCCCAAGTTTGAGAAATAACTAATGTTTTTTTAAAACATGATTATTTCTAACAATTTGTGTGCAAGACATGAAAAGTAACATTTTAGCTTGAGTGTATAATACAATATGAAGACTAAATCTAAACTGATTGCACACTTTTAAAAGTTAGATTAAATTGAATTAATGCTATGATATTTCTAACATAATTTGCACAAGTCTGCTATATGTAGGCACGGACGAGCCCCCATTGTCACGGAGTAAGGTTCATATACTTAACAAGATAGCAGAATTGTACTTAAATTACATATTTCTAATTGTCTTTATTGTAAAAATATAAAACCATGTGTAGAATATGACATTTGGCAGAGTAATTATCACAATCAAACATATATTATGAATCCTATAGATAAGACTTATCTAGATCAATAGCTCACAATGGTACACACCAGGAAACCTTAAGACGGACAGTTCCTTTAAGTCTGATGCCCACGATTTAATCCGTTTGTGGAAATAAATGTCATACAACTTCAAAAGATCGCATCTTTGTATATCTAGTAATGTTTCTCCATTATCCCAATACACATGAAACCTGCAGCACCTCGCAAGTAACATAATTTGCACTTCCCAAGGATCCATACGACTTTACACAAGTATTGTAGTATAACCCTTGTTATCTACACATACCCAACACAGTATTCCCACGAGTCCGTCCGTGGAAAAACTAAACACAGTGCGTAAGTTCCAAGGCCAAGCACATCACAAAATAGGATTTCTAACATCACTGTTCGCATACACAAGTCACTGATGGAACTTCGTAGTATTCGACATAAATTAGAAAGCGTCGTGACATCAAAAGGTAAATCCAAGAAGTGGCCATAGTAGAATTAATTCACGGTAGAAGTCTGGGAAAATGCTAGTCGAAACTGTTCAAAATACATTTCACTACATAATATCTCCAACACGTACTGCCTCGATAATTCCATGTCATTTCACTTTTCTTGACTCTCCACACTTCATTCTCTAATGTCCTTATATCTTGCCTCATAAAACTCTCTTACTTCCTCAACCAGTTCATGAGTTCACTCTAGTGTTAGTGGGTCACTCTACTCAGTATTAAAAAGTTGAAATAGAAATAACTTGACTAAAAATAGTAGGATTCAATGAACTGTAAAATACACATAGTACAAAGAAATGAGGTGTATGTCTACAATATTGAATAAAGGACCAGGTGTCCTTGGCAATATAAAACAAGATTGCACACAAATGACCATGAACTGTGACAGCTAACAAAAGGCATTCAAACTCTTTCCTTTTTAGAAATGACAAATATGAAAACCTTGAGAAATTAAGTTCAAAGTTCTTTTATAAAATCCTATTGAAAGATAAATTTATTAGACCAAAGATGGAAGCAGATTGGACAAAATCCTTCAGTATTCAGAACGATAGAATCACTTTTAGAAATATATACAAAAACAAGATAAAAGATATTGAATGCCAAAAGTTATCAGAATTTAACTTTAAACTATTACATAATTTCTTAGCCTGCGGAAAACTGGTAAATATGTGGAATATGAATGTTCCAAAAGAATGTAGTGAGTGTAATGTTGTACAAGACATTAGACATTTATTATATGATTGTGTGTTAATTAAAAATCTATGGAATATTCTAAGTGAAACACTAAAGGTAGATATTACTTGGAAAAATATACTTCTGGGGTACCAAAGCATGAACAGCAAATTAGAATTTAGAATGTTGCTTTACACAATATTGATGAAATGTATTCATGAAATTTGGACAAAAAACTCAGACAATCCAACTCAATATAAACAAGCAAATTTTAAATCGAAAATAGCATCTAAATTAAATATTTATGAACACATTTTTAAACTGCAAGGAAAAGTAAATATTGCTCATGATTTTAAGAAAATTATAAATGCCTTTGCTGCTTACTAAGATTGAATGGATTTTCTGAACTTTTACTATTGTATAAGGATCAAAATTTTGATAGAGTATATAATCACTAGGGCAGAGCATTTGTACTGAAAGGAGCGTTTTCAGTACAAATATGTACTGAAAAATGTACTAGTTTTGTTTCAGTACAAATTTAAGTATATTTTTGTACTGAAAAATGCACTGAATTTTTTTCAGTATATTTTTCAGTACAAATTCATGTACTGAAAAATATACTGAATTTTAAGTACAAATTTAAGTATAAATATGTACTGAAAAATGTACTGAATTTTAAGGACAAATTTAAGTGCAAAAATATACTGAAAAATACACTGAAAATTTAAGGATAAATTTAAGTACAAATATATACTGAAAAATGTACTGAAATTTAAGTGCAAAAGTCAGTATAAAAATGTACTGAAAAATATACTGAAATTTAAGGATAATTTTAAGTATAAATATATGCAATGAGAAATATTTGTGCCCAATAATGGAAATAAGAGAAAACGTAAATGTAAGGCATACTTTATAAAGTCTAAATCACTCAAAAAGTTCTTAGAATGGTGAAAAAGTGCATGATTTTAAAAGAATTTTTGGCCGGGGGGGGGGGGGGGGGGGTTCCCTTGGACCCCTGAACCCCCCCCCCCAGGAATGCTATTACATTATGAAATTATTTTGGATGCTTCCTTTACAGCAGACTTTTAACCAAACTTAAAAGAGTCTCTCTGTAATCAGGTTTGTTTTGCCTTGTCAAAATTTTTTGTTTTGTTAATGGATTAATAAAGTTTCTTTAGACACATCCTTTGAAGCAGACTCTAATCAAACTGGAGAGGCTAGGTTTACTGTAATCAAGTGTTTTCCTTTTAATAAGTTATGTTTTTGGATTAAATTATTTAAGACACATCCTGTAATAATATCTGATTGCATTTTCTCCATCAATAAATTTCTTTTTAGCCCGATCAAACCTATCAAATATAATGCATATATAAGGGTTATGTACTGGGAGGTTTTGGATACCCATATTTCCTGAGGGATAACCCCTTTATTTAAAACTGATCGTACATAACATGTGTATTCCATACCTTTTGAGGTTTCTAGATACATTCTACCTTATTAAGTTCTAAAATTCAAAAACATTAAAGTTACACATTTTCTCAGTCTTAAAAATAAGTTTTTCATGAGATTTTCACTCATATTGCTTGAGCAAATTAATTAATTGATATAAAAATTAAAATATATAACATGAACATAGAACCTCATTTGTTAGAGTATAGCAAAATCCATGGTATAGATGTCAAAGTCAGGAAGATGTCGTAATTCAAAATCTAAGTATATTTTTCAGTATAAATTTACACTTAAATATGCCCTTAAATTTCAGTATATTTTTCAGTACATATTTGCACTTAAAATCACACTTAAATTTCAGTATATTTTTAAGTACATATTTGAACTTAAAATCACACTTAAAATTCAGTATATTTTTCAGTATAAATATATACTGAAAAATGTACTTAAAATTTCAGTACATTTTTCAGTACATATTTATACTGAAATTTTAAGTATATTTTTCAGTACATATTTATACTGAAAAATATACTTAAAAATTCAGTACATTTTTCAGTACATATTTGTACTGAAAACGCTCCTTTCAGTACAAATGCTCTGCCCTAGTGAATGCTGTGGAAATCCTATTTTACTAATGTATAAATTCTAATCCAGGATATATGTATATTTTTGTTTTGCATAGTTTTATTGATTCAAGTATTGTTTGTGTTTATGTATTTTGCGTTTATGTTTTTGAATAAATATTTTAATAAAAAAAAAATAAAATAAAATCTTTGGGAAATCTCCCCCCTGGCATTACTACATTAATTTGAGTACAACATGGACACTATCAATGCCATCTTTAAATAAGTATGTACCTGTTAAACATTGTGTAGAATGTGGCTACTTCATAGACCCTCATCTTAGGCATGCTTAAATAGGAGGCTACCTTGTTCATGGCAGAAAGGGGAAGCCATCCTGAAACAAAAATTATATTTATTTATGACGTTTTTATTTCATTTCAAAAGTACAGCAACTACAGAACAGCACTCTGAAAGGGATTGGTCATTTTACATTTGGCTTTCAGTTTATTAAAATAAAGTAGCAATTTTGCTGACCAGTTCTTTCAAAAACTTCAAGAGGTTTATTGATGATGAGAGAGGAAGAAGGGGTGAAGGTTATTTTATTTTAGTTAATCAATAAAAGCTATACTTTATTGTACTGTTCTGCTTGAAATTTGGCAAGATGTGTGGAAGTTCATGGTTTTTCTTATCTTTAAATTGGTGAAAATTGGTTGGGTCTTTCAAAATCTCAAGTGGGTGCAGCATCCATTTTTTCAGTCCTGTTGAATATGTGTAGTTACTCACCATGTTGTCTCTGTGCTAGGTCCAGTAGTGGGATAACTGCAGCTTGTTTGTGACCTTCGGGATAGTTGGCTAGAATACTTTCGGCCCTCTGAATGCAGGATAAAACATATTTTTATATTTTGCTTAAGACTACCATTGTTTAGCAGTTTAACAAAGTTTGTGGTTATCTCTAAGTTAATAACAGTAATTGCAATATTCGTAACAAAAATGAAAAACTTATTGGTAGTATCATAAAATCATTTTATTGACACTAAATTGCAGCAATACAAAATACATGATTCCATATATACCTGTAGCAGGATTGCACCTGATAACAGCTTTTACATGCATAATAATTTGGTGATATATTAATATTACCTTCAAGTTTTCTTCAGTGAAGTCAAACTTTGTATCAGGATTATTGTATGAAGTGTCACGGTGCTGAAAATATATGAGGAAATACTGTTATTCTATGCTCATTTAAAATTTTCCATTCAACAAATTACTTGTACACACAGAACTAATATAATTTTATCTGCAATCTTTTATTAAGACCATCACTTCACCCACTCCCACATACTCTTATTTCATCTTTCTGACATCAAATTTCATTTATTTACCACCTTGTTAACTTTTTCTTTCCCTCTAGTTATGAGGCATCTTATTTGAATAATCTGATTATTTTTCAAATTGGGTAAAAATATTGGCCAGTTTATACGTTCATTTCTCACTGATCAAATGGTGTGCCATTAATATGTGCTAAAACTGTGGCATCATTTTGAAATTGTTTGTTAAGTTTATTTGCTTTGAAATCTTAGATATTTTGACATTTTTAATCATTTTTTCATACCTTGGACGGCACACTTTTATTTCAATTTTAATAAAAACAGACTAGCGAAATCAGAAATTCCCATGAGGTTTGAATTTAAACATAACATGCAATTTAGGGTGACTTTACTTCATATCAAACAGCATGCAAAATAGTAAAAAAGTTTCTACTTACAACAAAAAGGCTGTCACTTGCAACAGGAGCTGACTTGTGAACTTGTCTTATCTGCTGTCCCTGAAAAATAGGTTGCAAGTGATAAGTTGGGGAAAAGTCCACTATGACTGACTTACAAGTCATCCCCATTGTGTAACAAACAATGGTCTACATGTAGCTTGATATATGTATTTTGATAAAAAATATTTGCATTTATATGAGCATGGAGAAACATGATATCACATGATGTTAGTTCAGATGCTGATTCCCAGAAAGTTGGATAAATGGCTGGTAAAGCAGGTCAGATCTTTTTTATTTTTATTAGTAAATCTAGATGAAATTCTTATCATTTAAAGATGATATTGTTCTTCAATTTCTGTCAGAAACCTTGGATCAAATTTGTACAATGGCCCATTGGATTAACATGGACTAATATGTACTTCTCACTTATTGAAAACTTCAACTCAATGATAGATGAGGCTGTCCTGCCTTTACTGACTTTGACTATCCAGGTTTTGTTCTTACACTAGAAACAGGGATTATACGGTCCTGTACTAATTGACCAAATCTCAGAGTTACTTGCCTTGTCACATTTTGTTCAGTGAATGAATTGCAGAGTTTGACAAGTCACCTTGAGAAAAGCGATACAACAATTTGATCAAAATAACATGATTAATCCCAGCAAAGCAGTAATATTTGAGGCAAAGCAGTGTCACATCGTAATGGTGCAAGAATAAGATTTGGTAGTTCCGAGGAAAAGCGAAAACTCCTGATTTGGAGTTTTTAAAAATCTGAGTCTCTGTAAAAACAACATGGGGTCAAATGCACCTCTGAAGAAGTGACAAATCTCAGATATATAAATAAAGACCCAGAGGTGTAGTGTTGTCGCGATTAAACGATAAAAAATTAATTTGCTAAAAATCACCCTTTCTTATCTTGACGCAAATCGCTTACCTTTCTCATGTCTTATTTCATTTTCCAATGTTTTCTGATATTCTTTCGCTTTAAAACTGTTTTAACTCGTCAAAATGAACCATAAATCTACTAGAAGTTACTAGAAGTTCCCGGATGTACCAGCATACTCTTATTAATTTGTTCTGTTCGGTATTTTAGTGCATTAGAGTTCGGTATTTCAGTGCACTTTTCTCGGACTTTTTCTCGATGTACATCGATGTTTACTACTAAAAATTGCTGATGCATCGATGTACGATTATGGCACATCGCGACAACACTACAGAGGTGTAATGCACCTGTAACTCAGTGGCTGCTGAAAAAAATATATATTTTTTTAAATTAACAACATATATGAGTTTTCATAGGCATTTCAAGACTAAAATAAATAAAACTTACCACATTTCTAGAAAATGTCCTTGCAATTGAAGCCAGCATGTTGGATCAATGTTTCAATGCCGTTACTACATGTAAAATACGAATTTTGTTTAAGATTTTGGACGAAGGACACAAGTTTTGTAACTTCTCGCCTCAACAACGTGATCTCGTAGTATCTCGCACGACATGGGAGAGTTCAAATATTGAGGGGGGTTAAGTCTAGAATAAATCAGGTTTGATTTATTAAATGATATTTAATATAATTAAATGAGGATAAAGCTAATGCTATATAAAGATAATGTTTTTGTGACATTGGTATATAATATATTATATAAGTTAAGAACTCAAAGAAAATATATTTGAAAGTTGGAGCCCATTTCAAATGAACTCGTCTGAGATAAACAAGAAGTAAGAGATAATTAGGAAAATATCCCAAAACAAGACAAATAACTCAATTCATCAGTACAACAGGTCAAAAAATGAAGTACAAGTTTAAAGAAGAAAATACATTTGGTAAGTATACCAGTTATTAAGCTAATTCATGATGGGGAAGTGTGCTAATTTTAGCTATCGATTATGTTTTTATTTTGGAATTCCATAAAAATTCACCAAAATGTCAAATGAATGGATGATGTATTCATGCCAATCTGAATCATGTAGATGTATAGAAGATAGTAGGTCTTAGCTGCAATTGTGAACCTCTGATTTCCAAAGATTATATTTTGTAAACATAGATACAATTGATAAAGGATGGATGGAGGATTTCAGATAGAAACGTTTGTGGTCCACAATCTGAAGTGGTCGATAACCAGGATTCCATTAAGAACTTCATCAATTTTACTGCTAACTACAGAACTGCCATTTTTAGATGACAATTTGAGAATTTCATCATAAAATTTAACAATTCTAGATGTTTTTAATTTGGCAGACCTATTAATATTAATCCCAGACGAAATATACAATGTCTCCAGGCCCCTAGCCGGGGGGGGGGGGGGGGGGTTGGGCAAAAATCATTTCAAAATCATGCAGTTTTTCACTTTTCTGAGCACTTTCTATATTGATTTTGGCCATTTTTGGACCAAAATTGTCACAAGTGAACCCCCCTAGAATTTTTCAAAAAGTGAATCCCCCTTGGCAAATCCTAGCTATGGGCCTGGTCTCACTTGTGACAATGTCCCATTCAGTTTCAATAAAGTTATAATTGTCACAAACATTCTCTGTATAATGTTTGGAATGAGTTTTCACCTTGGGTAAAAGTTTTCAAGAGTACATAGTAGGCTCAATGTATATGATTTATAGCCAAGTTTTGTTGGCTAGAGGCTTGTGTTAACCCTAGAGCTTATAATTATAATATGGCCAAGGGACAATATGAGTACAAAGAATGATGATACATTCTCCGTTTATCCCAAAATTTATATATGTGTTCTGAAAATTATATATACCCATAGGTTTCCCCATACTTGTACAGAACATAATTTGCTCAGATCCAGAGGGCTGACTGGCTATATGGAACTCTTTAGCTAAGGTGCTGATGTAAACATTTAATCACTTTAATATCATTATGTAATTTGTATCATTTATTTTTTGCAGTGAGTACAAGTACAGTACTTGTCCATTGTTCATTTTGACTATAAGCTTGTGTCAACATGTCCTTAGATGGTCTGGATATAATTGAGGACATTTATAACATATTTTCTGTTTCAAATCCAAAGAATTTGGTGGTATATAAGTGAACTAGCAATTAACAACACAGCACAATTCTAATTCTGATATTATTCAGGCCCATAGCCAGCTTTTGTTAAAGGGGGTTCACTTTTCAAAAGATTCCAAGGAATTCAAATTTGACAACTTTGGCCAAAAGTCCCCTGAAATGTACTCAGAATGGTGAAAAACTGCATGGTTTCGAAAGAACTTTTGGCCAGGGGGCGGGTTCCTTTGAAGCCCTTTGGTGGGGTTCTTGTATATTGATCACATTGCTTATTACCCACTCAGCTGCTTAATGCTTGAAAATGGTTCTTAAGAATGTCATTAACTGACATGTTTACTGGTAAATAAGTGGCCTAAAACAAAGAAAACAGTTAATTATAATTAGCACATTGTCTTGTGCATGAGATGTGTAATTAACATGACAATATATACACATATATCAAGCATGCATAGTTTTATATACAAGCAGAATTTGTGTTAATTATATAACTTTTATTGGCCCATTGATACTATTTATAGTATCATTGTACGAATATCAGATAGGACATGTAGGATATTCTATGATATTGAGTGATATCATTTTTATCCACGAGTTGATTAAATGAGTGGATTAAAATTATATCACTAAAATTCATAGGATGTTCTATTTATCCCATATTTCACTTCTAAAACTAAACCATACATTTCAAAACAACATTCACTCATTAATTCATCATGTGACATCATGAAATCATAACAATATATGTAACAATATACATCACATTGGCAGGAGTTTTCAAATCCATGGAAAATCTGATATCTGTGGGATATTCTCTGTATTCCACAGATATCGCTTTTTCCACGCATTTGCAAAATATCATCAATATATTTACATGTTATCCTACAGATTTGACCTCAACTATGGGATAACTGTTGATATCATACCTCAAAATAGATCATATGCTCAATATCCATTTGAGATTTTTGGAAGATTTTGCATTGGGCATCTGTAACAAATGGCAAGTGGTGACATTTTGTATGTTTTGGGGGTTGGCCTAGAGGGCTTGAGCGCCGGCACGTTCAGGCTAGGCGATTGGGCGCCGTAACCACGAGGTTGCGAGTTCGAGATGCATGTGCTCCTTGTGTTTATTCAATTTTGTCTTGAGTTCATTGTTGTACATTTGTTTAGGCTTTGTAGTATACAATGAATTATTATTAAACCAAGTAATCAGGTCAAGTTTCATTCATGGAGAAAATTTTAACATATTTGCTATATACTTTGTTGTATTTGCTACATGTATGTAACACGCAAGGATAGTAAGTTGCTTCATGGGCTTTCAATTCTAGTTGAAAGCCCATGGTTGCTTTTAGCATTACAGAACAGATATTGGAGAAGCATGTCAGTCAGTAGAGCATCAGGCTAGACATTGAGGGGTTTCGGGTTCTAATCTGACTAGATCATTGAATTTGGCATTCTTAACATTGCTCTTTATAATCCTGGTTTTACCTATAACAAATCTGTGTTATTTCCCGTAGAGAGTCACATTTACGTTCTTGATGCCTTTCAGAGCAAAGATGTAGCGAGTCAACCAAGATTAGATCAAAGTACCCAGATAGGATACCAGTAAGTAAAAATCATATTTACCACTCTATTGTCCCTATAGATACAAATATTTATTATCTTATAGTTTGGGAATTTATTAAATGAATCATCTGTTTTATCCTGGATCTTCTTTCAAATTGATATTAACTAGACCATATTAAAGACACGTATAATTTGTAGATATGTGACTGTCTTATACAAGACGTAAGTAAAGAAATCAATACAACAGAGAGGAACTTCTTTTCTGCCTATAGTTGCCTATCTTTAACTTTTTTTTCAAAAATATCTGTTATTTTATCTTTCCAGGTTGTTGTGGAAAGAGCTCCAAAATCACAGATAAATGAGATCGACAAACGTAAATTCTTAGTACCCAATGATATATCTGTTGCACAGTTTATGTGGATTATCAGAAGACGTATTCAGCTAGCCTCTGAGAAAGCTCTCTTCCTATTTGTCGGCAAAGTTCTACCAACCACAAGGTGAGTATTGACTTCTTAAAATATTCATGTTAAATAGGCGCAATTGGCTAACTTATGATCGCTTCAAAATTTTGGCTGGATCACTTAATTATTTTACTTGCATGTAGATTTGGATGAACAGTAAAACCCCTGAATGGGAACGCCTTAATTCCAGTCCCAGTTTGTCATTAACTCCCATGTAATCCCAACCTCTTTAATGTCTCAATATCTCTCTGAGTGTGACTGTATGTATAATTTGTAATGGAAATATGGTGTTCAAAAGTTAAGATACAGGGTGGTCAAAAAAAGCTGGAAACCCTTACACCGTTTTCCTAATACCTTTGTCATTTTAAGAAATACATGTAACTTACCTATGGGAATATGGCAGAGATAGAGTGTATAAGAATGACCTCAGGACAATTGCAGACCTCAAAAGTGAGATCATCTGTATCATTCAGGCCATACCTACTGAGGAATGCATTGTCATTGACAACTGTGCAGGTTTGCCTACAGTGCGATGATGGCCAAACCTGAGGCATGTTGTTCAAAGTGCTGTAAAATTGTGACTATCAGCCTGATGGTCGTGAGATATATTAGGGTATTGAATTAAATTGAATGATTTACAAATGTGTGAAATATCAGGGAATAATTTCTTAAAATAATAAAGATATGAGAAAAATGCAGGGTTTCCATTTTTTGACCACCCTGTATAACATGACTATGTTTTTACCAGCATTTTACCAGTTTTTCCCCAATTACAATAGAAAAGAAATCAATAACAAATTTGATTTTTGTCATTCCATCTCCCATGGTCCTAAGATTTGACCCTTTGCCAGGATATTAACTTTGAATGGCCTATTGCCTCTAGTACATGTATCTACTATCTTTATATTGGCAACTGTTCCAAATGAGCTAATTATGTAGACTATTTATTAATTGAGTGTGTTTTGTACCATTTCCAGTGCTAGCATGGGTCAGATATACGAGGAACACAAAGATGAAGATGGATTCTTATATATTGCTTATAGCGGAGAAAACACATTTGGGATGTAGGGACCAATAACAATCAATGTAGCAGTCACATGATACTCTGTAGATGACGGATAATCAACAGTGGATCTGATCTCTAAAACCCACCAATACACCATGACTATAGTATTATTAAATTCGATTTTAATTTTTGTCACCTTTTTAAGTAAGGATCATATATGCAATATGATACAGTCAAATATATTTTCCTTTCCACTGATTGGTTGAATTGACCTGGACATGATATGATTGTGAAAACACCAAGCACAAACAGACTGGGAATGTTTAATACCTTATAAGGTATTAAACGCACTGCCCATATTTAGAATACTTATTTGAAGAGTATCAAATTGGAGGATAAAGGCAGAGAGCCATTCAGCATTTTTGTGGATTATGTTTTTAATTTCTACATATGTATAATATTCAGGGAACTGTGCAGTAGGGTTTAGTGGACTAACAACCCCCTAAACCTATGTCATCTTTTGGTAATATAGGAAGTAAAAATTCAAATCTTAGTCGTTTTTTATAGGGGATGACATCTCCAAATTTTTTATAGGGAATTAATTGTGAAATATTCCATTTTGATAGAATGTTTGGACCTATTTAACGAAACAAGCTTATTTCTACCTGTATGGTCAGATATTGTTCTAAGATTTGTATTTTCATCTTACTTATCCCTGCCTAATGTGTGACTAGAAAATTGAGACAATTTAAGTCATGATATATTACTTGTTAATTTTATTTGATTTTATAATTTATATTCATTATTGGTATAGGGTGAGATATATTACTTGATCATGGGTGCTATTTCTTTAATATTTCACCTTCATTATTGCACAGTGTGACCATCCCAACATCTGACTAATGCAGGCCGGTAGCCAGGGGGGGGGGGGGCTCTGCGGGCTCGTCTGGGCCCCCCCAAGTACTTACCATGGCCAGTAGCTTTAGACTAACATCATTTACCTGCATATTGTAAAATCAGAATTTCCATATCTTTGCCAAATTAATAATTGCATATTCTTAATTTGTCAAACTAAGGCGATGGTTCTTGTAAATGTCTAACCTGTATTTGTGGAAGTAAATGAAACTTAGCCATTACTTTTATATAGTTTTACGAACAAAGCATTATCTGATGCAATGAGGTTTTTGTTGTTTTATTGACTTAATTCTGCTACCCACTATCATTTAGTATATAACGAAGTATAAGAGAAAAATTTGTATCCATTTGCTGTATAGTGTTACTATTATATATATTGTTCCATATATATGGATGCTTGTAATTTTAATGCAAATCATGTTGTACATTTTCTGAATTTAAAGTTATATATGTAGACAAATAAATATATACAAGTAATATTAATATAAAATAATAAGTAATTATCTTACATCGGTGTGGCCATGAGCTTTCAATAGAATGCCCATGGTGTGGCGTATTAGGCCAATGGGCTTAATGTATTGTTTACCCATAGTGAATTTTATTTTCCGACAAAGGGCTATACAATGCCTGGTAATGGACATCTTTACTATTAAATTTGAGCTTGTATTAGAATTGCCTATAGTTATATACAAATCACAGAATGCAGTGCTTGCTCTGTTAGTACACTGAACGAAATGCAAATATTTACACTACCCGAGAATTAAAAATTCCATAAGTTTTCCCTATTTTCCCATTTCTTTGGATCACAATAACTTTGCAACTAACAAAGGTAGGATGCTAGTTTTAAGCCATAATGTGCAGGATTCAAAATTGACCATCAAGTGGAGGGGCTACACTTAATGGTGAAAAGTATGTCAGAATAAAATGGGTTAGGTCAAGCTAAGAATTAAATCAACGAGCCTCCCTTTTAATTGAGAATCCTGTTCAATTGAAAATGAATTTTTGAAAATTAAAAATTCAATTTTGTCTTGTCCACTGAGATGGGTCTCAATGTTTTGCTGCACAAGGGTTTCTTAAAGCTTTAGGTTGAATGGTGCTTACATGCTTACACTGCAGAATCAAGTGTTTAAGGGTTGTACTCTTACCACAGACACATAGATTAGTTGTGTTAGGGAAATTATGAGCAAACTTGTGATTCAAAATAGTCTGCATCTTATTCTGTTTAGGTAATTTCTTGTTTTCAAGAAAGATTGAGTTTAGAAGTTGTATTAAAGTCATTAAACTTTGAAGATTTGTATTAATTAGTCGTGCAAAAAACACGAAAAGATGGAACTATTAACAGGACATGGTTGGAGTCCCCAAATTATCCTCACACGACTTGGTCGGGTCCTAGCTGTGGTAGGGTCGGATCCTTTTATTCGAGTTTCAAACCACATTTTCATGTACTTTTGTGATGTATTACGTTATGTTTGTTTATCAGTCACACGCATTAATGAATGTACTTTATAGATTGCACGAAATTAGATATGTATACGGTAATATAAAATGATTATTGCAATTGAAGTGTATTCTGTCGTGAAAAGTCTATGTTCGACCTATTTTCACATTTGAAGCCTTGCTATTTTTTCTTGCTTTCTTCATGAAGTCATACTAGGTAATTATATTGCCTATAGTTAACCATTCAGAAAATATTAAAATTCGCTCCGTTTCCTGACATTTTGTCAATTTTGGCCTCTGTCTTACGAAGGGATCGTTTTCTAGCACACGAACGGACCATATCATACGGAGCGGGATGTGGACCGTGGGTAAAAATGACGAGCTATTGGAAATTATCTGTCATCCATCTGTGGAACAATGATAAACTAGAAGAAAGTTACCACTGTTTATCAAAATATAACTAGAACAGTTTAACTGTAACATTCGTGAGCTTATCGGAGAACATTTCAAAAAGCATGTTGATGGGATGATTGCTTCATCTATGATATGATAATGATATGATATGATAAGATTCTTTATTTCCTCCAATTTGGAGAGCCAACGTGTAAAAACGTCTAATTGACTTTATTAGGGAGGTTTAGGTACACGTTTTATGAAAATCTTGCACGGCGCACATGTAGAATTATTGGTCTCTTTGGATTCGTTCTCTCCGACTGAGTAAAAAGGAAGACAAAAGTGATAGGATTTAGGGCCCAAAAGGTAAATTGATAGGGGTACAGTAATTCCAGATTCCCCCGGGCCCTCGGGAAATATCATATTGTCTCTCGGAATAAAACCAATATTGAATCCCTCTCAGTAAATAACCTCTATATAATAGCATCGTATAACTGCGATATCATTAAACCAACACTCATCCTATACAACTCTTGAGAACGATATACAACTCCTGGATATTATATTGGCGTTTTTGCATCAGCACATTGGTGTTGTTGCATCATCGAAATCAGTGGTATACCTTTTACTCAATTGCCATGGGCGTAGCGCCTATAACGCAAAATACGCACAGGCGTACCAAATGAACTTGAAAAAATCAAAAATGTGTTAAAATGCATTAGTTTATTTGCAAATTTATTGATGCTTCCTACCGTATCTGTATTTTTACCATTGTCAACATTTAAAGTTGATAAAAACGCTTAAGATTCAATCAAATAACGTCCTTGAAAAAAAATTCCCGAGGGAGCATACCCCCGGACCCCCGCGATGCGCGGCCTTCGGCCACGTAATCAGGCATCCCTGAGTGTGCATAGCCCTACGCCCATGATTGCCATCAGTACAAATGCACTGGTGATCCGCTCGATTACGCTCGTTCGTTTCGGTAACAAAATGTCGGAACGTCGAAGGTACGATTTTTCTTTTTTCCTTATTCCACGCGTTGTAGACAGAATCCCCAATGACATTCTTTCTCACAAACGTGTATCAGTATCATATGTTTTCAGTTTTTCCAGATAGGAATGCCCCAATCAGTTTTTGGAAAATGATAAAAATAAAAAGTTTCTCCGTTCCACTTCAGGCCACTTCATACCTTGTCATTTTATGAGGTTATATGTCATGTATGTCTACAGCATTACTAAAAAATTGGCTTTTAGACTCTCTTGGTTTCGTAGTTATTTTGATTTGAAATATGTAGTACACATCTAACGTCTTTGTGCCATTTTAAATTATGTTATTAGGCACCATCTTGATTGATTTGAATACTTCTTAATTTATGAGAGTGCTACTAAAGAAAATGTTTTTCTACCTTAATTAATGATAGTTGGCTTTTGATTAATTGCTCAATCAGTTGCACAATATAGTGGTTTCCAAATAATTAACTTGGTCCGTTTTATATATAAGAGAAACTCATTTTATGAATGGTAACGTATATTAACATCTTAGAACATCAGCTTCATGTGTCATTAAATCTGATCAAGAAGACATTACAAAGAAAAAACAAAACAATCATTACATACATGTATTGTGAATAATAATGGTGCAAAATGTACCCATAGACCCCTTATCCTAGCACTGAATCAGCAATCGCAATCGCAATCGCAATCGCTTGTTAAGAAACTGTATAGTCGTCATTAGATAACGAGAGCAATATTGTTCAAAGTCTATGTAAAACTTAAACTTTTTTTACAACTTTATCACTTAATTCATCATCTCTAGAGACGTCGCTAAAACAGTACTGTCAACGTGTAAACTTGTAAATGTTTACAGTAAAACGTATTTTTAAATCATATCTGTCCAACACCACATATCAGACGTTATTGTTTCTTGATTCAATTTTTGGAGGCAAATAGTTCATCATCAAATTAATGCAGGTAATCTTGGACATTCTTGCATTCTCCCACTTGGGAATCAAATCCACTATTTGGCAAAGAACGTTTGCATGTTCTACCCAGAGTACATGTTCTGGCTACCCAGAGTACATGTTCTGGTGAAGGCCACTGAAAATACCCCCATCTGTTACTCATAAATGATGTTTCGTAGCACGCCATCCACATTAAAAACTTTTCCAATGTACCAAGCACCATCATTGACTGCAGCAATATGATTGTCAATCATGTACATAACAGCTGCTTCATTATCAGAGGGTTCGTCTCCGTCAGTGCTCTTACTCTGTTGAAAATAAAGTATGATGGCATGTGTGCATTTCCTTGTTTTTCATCTTCTTTTACCAAACTTGTTAAAAGATCCATGGTAACTCGAGTGTTGTACCGAAACTTTAAGAAAACATTGGGAAATTGAAAAGACGTCCATTTTGAATGTTTTTCATGAAATTTCAGCAATTCTTGGAGTTAAAAATGACCTCTTACCAGACTCAATAAAATAAAAGAAGATACTGTGACGATACTTTCCTGAAATTTCTACATGCCTTCATACTTTATTTTGTACAAAATAAAGTACAATAAAATGAACAGGTATTGCAATTATTTAAAAAATGTTTCTGTTCCACCATTTCCTTAACACATGTCCTTTCTTTTTGTATTTTTCCCCATCTTTTCTCTTTTCCATTCATTATAGGTTTTTTGAATCACTGCTCTTGATTTACCCATTTTCTGAAAGAATTTCCCCCTATTTGAAACTCTAGTCAGAAAAGGATTAACAATCGTTTTAAATTACGTTACTGAACATAACGTAATTTATCCAACATTTAATATCGAATTTCACCAAATATATTTTAAATTGAAAATTTTGTTCTTGCACCACAAATAACATGTTTCTAATGAATGATGTGCTTCAAAATCAGTA